GTGGCTCTTTGTAAATCATGGGTCAGACATTTTGGAGAAAATGGCTCTTTGCTTTAAAAAGGTTGCCGACCTCTGAGCTAGCTGATGCTAGCTGTTTTAGCTAGCTGATGGTAGCTGATGATAGCTGTTTTAGCTAGCAGATGGTAGCTGTTTTAGCTACTGTAGCTGATGATAGCTGTTTTAGCTAGCTGATAATGATAACACCAGTGCCATGCAGAGATTTTTGGAGGGGCAGATGTTTGAATGGGGGGGGTGGGAGGAGTGTGGAGGGGGTCAGTTAATTTTGCATGATCACCGATTATTGCAAACAGGGACTTAGAACCTCAAAAAGGGGGGCACCTTCAATCGTTTGGCCAAAAGCGGCAGGTGCTCAGGCTCCCCACTGCCCTGTATCTGCCTGCTGAACACTGTCGAAACACCGTATACCACGGTATACTGTTGTGATGGAATGATGGTATTAAAAATTAGATGGTGCCCAAACCTAAACTGAACCCAGCTTACAATCGCAATCCTTACAATGTGAGAATTGCATGTGCATGACATACAATGTCGATATTAACATCACACAGTCGTGCTTGTTGAACGTTTACTTTGTATGCGACAGAAAATGTAAACCTTGATGGGCAAAGATACACCTGAGGAGTATGATCATGATACTAATAAGAGATATGGTGAACAAAACATGGAAACAGAAAAAAAATAAGTGCTGGTGTTACCCTGGAGTAACAGTAAAACGTGGTAAAGACCACAAAGAACAGTAGCTGGTAAATAACAGGCTTGATCTTTCATGGTGAAGATCACAGCTAAGTCCGCCGCTGCGGTCAATTAGCCACAGACACGGGTGAAACCGCAAGACATTAATCAGACATCCTGTATTGACTGGGGACGTTGAGAGTGACAGGGGAGTCAACATGCTCGTTCAGTGTAAAGACGGTGGGCAACTGTAAATACGCTGAGAAAGCATACGTCCAGATTAGCGGAATTAAGTGTCAGACCAGAACAAAAGCGTGTATCCACAGGCTATGATGGCTACATCGATCCGGACATGAAGACAACACACGCCAGGCCCCCTGTGATACCGCGGCTGTCCACTCCAATATTACTCAATATCATTACAAGTTAGTTATTAACTCTAGCAATACTATTGATTATTACTGGTCATTAAAATCATTATTTAATTTAGTCAGCTTGAGGGAGATGCCACTATGTAAATTAAAATTTAATGTAAATTAAAAATAAGGAAATACAGCTCTGGTAAAAATGTAGAGATCATTCTATACTGTATATCTTTTTTTAAATCTGCATTTTAAAATCCTGGTTTAGTCCTGGTTCTGCTGGCAGAAGGCTACACTGCAATGCAGGCTGCTTCCAGGCTCAAAGTTTCTAAGACAGCAGGACAGAAGAACAAGGTGAAGCAGGAGACACTGACAATAACCAAAAACCAGCCTGGTAGAGGGCAGAAGCAACTTTCTAATGCCAGCAACTTATCCAGCAGTGCCTTATAAATCTGAGGATGACCTCAAGTGACCTTCAGAAAGAATGGGAGACATTAAGTGGTGTGAAGTGCACTGCTAGGACAATTCATAACAGGCTTCTAGAAGCAGGACTGAAGACCCATAAAGCAAAGAAGAAGCAGGGAAGAGCCAACGTACTGCCATGAAGCCTGATATATTACAAAAAAATCAGGCTAAATACACGTACTACTGTGTGACACTAGTTAAAACAATGCGCAGCTTCAGCTGTGCGGTGGTTTGAGGTACAGTACAGTACAGTTAGAACATAAGAACATAGATTTACAAACGAGAGGAGGCCATTCGGCCCATCAAGCTCGTTTGGGGAAGTAATGTTTATTATTACTGTATAATTATTATTATTATGCAGTGTATCTTCATTTTTCTGACATACCTAAAAATTCAGTTTAAAGGCAGATTTAGGGAGCGGATATCGTTCATAATCTGAGGATGGGGTGACAGGCTGCCAGAGGGCACAAAGCAGGGGTACAGGCCGGATGGGGCTCCAGGCTGCCAGAGGGCACAAAGCAGCACGGGTAGAGGCCAGATGGGGTGCCAGGCTGCCAGAGGGCACAAAGCAGCACAGGTAGAGGCCAGGTAGGGTGCCAGGCTGCCAGAGGGCACAAAGCAGCACAGGTAGAGGCCAGGTAGGGTGCCAGGCTGCCAGAGGGCACAAAGCAGCATGGGTAGAGGCTGGATGGGGTGCCAGGCTGCCAGAGGGCACAAAGCAGCACGGGTAGAGGCTGGATGGGGTGCCAGGCTGCCAGAGGGCACAAAGCAGCATGGGTAGAGGCTGGATGGGGTGCCAGGCTGCCAGAGGGCACAAAGCAGCATGGGTACAGGCCAGATGGGGTACCAGGCTGCCAGAGGGCACAAAGCAGCACGGATAGAGGCCAGATAGGGTGCCAGGCTGCCAAAGGGCACAAAGCAGCATGGGTAGAGGCTGGATGGGGTGCCAGGCTGCCAGAGGGCACAAAGCAGCACAGGCAGAGGCCAGATTGGGTGCCAGGCTGCCAGAGGGCACAAAGCAGCACAGGTAGAGGCCAGATAGGGTCCCAGGCTGCCAGAGGGCACAAAGCAGCATGGGTAGAGGCCGGATGGGGTGCCAGGCTGCCAGAGGGCACAAAGCAGCATGGGTACAGGCCAGATAGGGTGCCAGGCTGCCAGAGGGCACAAAGCAGCACAGGTAGAGGCCAGATAGGGTGCCAGGCTGCCAGAGGGCACAAAGCAGCACGGGTACAGGCCGGATGGGGTGCCAGGCTGCCAGAGGGCACAAAGCAGCACAGGTATAGGCCAGATGGGGTGCACAGAGTACAAGCAGGATCCAAACCCTAACCCTGGAGGTCTGGGGCACGGTACTGCTCTCTGCCCCCCCCCCCCCACAGTGATTGAAAATGTGTCTTTCTATCTCAGTTCACACAAAGGTTTACTCTATATGCTGGTTTGCTCACACCAGTTCCAACACTCAGTCTCACCAATAATTTCAAGTTGAAAGACAGCCAATCACTATCAGACACAGGTCTCTGCTATCAGCTTAATACCAAAGCCCACCTGAGCTTCTCTGTCCATGCAGTGATAAGAATCCTTGTGTCCACGCTTGCCGCTGTTTACTGCAGGTGATGCAATGCTAGCCGTGACCTTTCAAAACAATCCCTCTTCAAGCAGCCAAAGCTATTAAATCTGAACTCACAAAACTCCCTGTCTGTAAAACTAACACTGACTGGAAAACTAGCTGTGTTTTTTCACCACATGATGGTTGAAAGAGAGAGTTTTGGTTCCACATGATGAGGATTCCCACACAAGGGAGCCAATATTCCCAAAGGAACGCAGAAGTGAGCGCGCTCTGGCACTAATGTTTTTAAGCCCGCAGACAATACTAAGCGTGTTAGACGATAAAATATGAAACGACATCCAGTTCTTTGACAGTACTTCAGAACATATGACGTCTTTGTTTAAATAATAATCTGTATGTCAAAGCCAGACAAGCAAACTGCAACAGGCACAAATGAGGAGCCTTCAGGAACAGGGGGCTTCAGAAGATTGTTGCTGCCCCCACAGCCGCCCTCCAAGTCCCAGGGCCAAACAGGGTGATGTACTGCAGGCACATACTCACTACTGCCAGGGGGGATCCATCAAAAAGTCGCTCTCCCCCCCCCCCCAGATGTTTTACAAACTAACTAAGTAGCCAGTGATTGTAGCTGTCTAACTGGTTAGCAGAACATGTTGCTTCAGCATCTCCTGAATAAGGAACGTGTTTGTTTAATATTTAGTGTCCTCCGGGGCTCCACGCAAATGCATGGTTTGAGTGGTGGTAGACAGTACCACTGATTACAGGTCTCTGGAATGGGGGGAGCCAGAAAGTGCCCCCCTCTTCCATGAGTGGAAGAGCGTGACACCTCTCTGACCTTGGGTGGTGGTGTGGCCTGGCAATGGGCCGGGCAGAGGCGATGCCGTACTGCCCCGGGGGAATTGCTGAAGCCACGGGTGAAATAAGCCAACTCTCCTCCCAATTTTCACCCCGGTTTAGTTGTCTCTGATCCACTGTCAGATGAAGCCTCCCTGTGTGCTTCCCGGAAAGCAGAGGACAGCTGGTTACACCCCCCTCCTCCTCACACCCCTGCCTGCACCCAGTGAGTCAGACAGAGAATCTGTCATTTGTGCCAACGAGAAGCCCGAGGGGGGCCGAAAGCCCAAAGGGTCCGCACACATTCTGTATGCAGGGATGCTCCTCCGGGGGCCCCACCCCCAAAGGCCCAAAGGGTCTGCATGTGCAGTGTGTGTAGGGAGGCCCCTCTGAGGCCCCCAAACACCCCCAAAAAGGATAAATAATGCAGCCTGGGAAGCGTGGTGGACAAAATATTTTGAATTATAGTGTGCTCTGGACATTAACAACATATGGATTTTAATAACAGCGCTAATAACTGAACAGCTGTACTTTCTTCATCCTCATCTTTTCACACATCCCGTCATGCTCTCCATAAGACGGAGTATCTGTAACCCACGTAAGTCCAACTTAATGACTTCGATATGCTTATCAGCCCCTGTTGCATTTTAGGACGCATGGGGCAGCTGGATCCTGTTCGCACTTGTCGGATTCACACCCCTGCTAGGGGTGGAATTGAGTTAACCTCCCTGTCTCAGCGTTCTGATGTCCAAGTGCTTCACAGGCGCCGCTCTGCCCATGTGTGATGGCACCTTGCTGAATAAATAAAGAACATCTACGTCAGTTTAATCCCTAATCCACCTGCTCCCTGAGAGCGATGTGCAAGGGTCTGCTAAGCAGTCACTACACCAAATATTAAATAAATGGTAGCTGATGTTCTGATTCTACCTGCTAACGACATATTTACAGTAGTTTTTGAAATACTTTGAGGGCCCCCGAAATAAATTTTTGAGTGAGGCCCCAGAAAAAACAAACCCACCTCGCCCGACAGTAACAGTTTTCCAAGTACGCAGCTAAGAGATGATTGACAGGGAAGCTCCACCTACCGCAGTTGGCCTCGTCAGAGCCGTCTGCGCAGTCGGGGTCCTCATCGCAGACCCATAACTTGGAGATGCAGTGCATGGTTGTCTTGCACTGAAACTGTTCCGGCAAGCATGTGCTCTCCGCTGAAGAGGGACGGGGGTTTCACACACACACACACACACACACACAGACAGACATAAAGAGAGAGAAAATAAAAATAAGTGAATGTACAGAAGAGAGGTATACGTGGTACACTAGACTGCACAGACAAAACACATGTGGATTATCACAAAATGAAAATGATTAATTCATTAATTAATGAAAAGATAAAAGACAATGTGACCCTTGCTGTTCTTCCATTATTAAACACATAAACTCATAACATCATAGAGGTTCATTAGATCTTTAATGGAGAGCACTATGTTGCAGTCCTAGCAAACATCTCTTTTTTTAACTGCCCAGTGCCACCACGTAATGCAAATCTGAGCCAAACCCACATAATCAAGAACATAAAAGCCAGTTAATTCCTGAAGTCAGATCTTGCTGTGGTAAACGGGCCTGTTTCCAGGCTCAGCGCTGTTGATGGGACCCCGGAAAGCATCCGGATTGCAGCATTTGGAGACATGTGGAGATATTCACAACTGGCCAAAGCGTGCCACACTTAAGCCAGAAGCCTCTCGGCAGGCCATGAAATTAGCAAGCCAGTGGAGATGGGGAAAGATTCAGCTTCGGCGGAAATGCCCTCCGTCAACATGTCAGGTTCTGGTGTCTTTCTATAGGGCTGAACAGGTCTTTCTACTTCAGAATCTTGCTTCGTGAAAATGAGATGAGATACACCTTGGATCCTTGTCTTGCAGGAATCTCGATACGTTAAAGTACATCTGTCCAAAGGCTGCACTAAACTCCAAACCTGCACTTCATATGAACCAAAGATGACACCGGATGTACCGAATCTGGAATTAACAGGCTTTATACTATATAAACACCATGACTGAGTCACTCCAAATCAAAATCATGCAAAAAGTGTTCATTCTCCAAGGAACTTGTAAATCTTTTTTTGTCGTCTTTGGAAGACGACTCTTTTTAATCATGGCCCGGTATTAAAATGAAAAAGCAGATTTGTCTGAGCTGTGAAATAATTACAGCCTGTGAGATTAATCAAGGGTTCTCACAGTCGCATACTTCAGCTGGAGATATCCTCCCATTGAATTTAACGACTCAGAGACATTTGTCAAAGCTGTAATCGGAGGGCTGCCTTCAGCAAAGGCAGATAAAGTTGCTATTCTGCTCCTCTCTTGCGTATCGGAGGAGCGGTGTGCACTCTTCAGACAGGAAATGACTGCGTGTGTCACAGCCGGACTCTGTGCATGGTCTCACAGCTCTATCAGCCGTTGAGCACAGGCACGCTTCGTGACGCTGTGGTGTCACCACCAGAGGCCAGTGAGAAACTTACGGCAGTCGGTCTCATCCTCGGCATCGCCGCAGTCATCCTGCCCATTGCAGCGCAGGTTCAGGGGGATGCATTTCTGCTTCTGAGTGCACTTGAACTGGCCAGACAGGCAGACATACGAGTCTGGAAATAAAGAAGGAAACATATTTTGTGTTCGAAATAATGAGGCCAATCATAAGAGATGCAACACTGATGCTAAGACACTTCTGCATTAACAGGGATTCTGGTTGCATAAACCCTTGTGTACTGGGTGAAAAGTTCATTGACTGCTATAGTTTATGATCATAAATGGTAGCTGATAAAAATGTTTTTGGGAATTACAATTTGAGGATAAGAAAATTACTCCACATGCATCATGCCTGAAAATAATATGAACACATTAACAGCGTGTGAAACCTAATAGTTCAGGCTAGAGATGTAGGAAAAAGAAGACAGGGAGAGAGAGAGTAGCGGTTCAACAAAGAGAAGATGCTTCAATCTCAAAGCGAAAAGGATCCGGTAACATTAATAAAAGCAGACAGATTCCTACTTTGACATTCCACACTTTGTGCAGCCTTTCAATGACAACCCAGATCCCAAGGGCTCAAAACCCTTTTGTCATTTTGACTTTTGTTGGTTTATTTTTGGTTTTTAAAATAGCTTCTCATCCTTAGAGGCTGCGAGAAAAAAAAAATGACAGAGACTGAGCAAATTAATTTTGCGCTATAAAGAAACAGCAGGATGCCTCACCACAGTTGGCTTCGTCAGAATTATCGCCGCAGTCATTCTCGCCATCGCAGATGAATGGGGGGAGGGCGCAGAGGCCTGTCCCACACTGGAACCGTCCCGGCTGGCACTTGAACTCCGCTATTAAAGATTAAACCATAACGTGAGGTGTAACCTATCTGATATCTCTCAATTGTCTTGTACTGTTTTCTTGTTTCCCCATCTGTATTGTTTTGCACTGTTTTTTTATTGTTTGCACTGCCTGTTGTGTCTTGCATTGTCTTTGTTTGGCACTGTCTGTAATGTCTTGCACTGTCTTATATTGCTTTGCACTGGCTATTGTTTTGCACTGGCAATTGTTACGCACTGTCTTGTATTGTTTTGCACTGTGTTGTCTTCCCTCCATCTGTACTGAATAGCACAGTCAGTATTGTTTTGCACTTTAATTGCTGTTCCCCGTTTGATTGTTTTGCTTTGTCTTTAGGTGCTTTTAACCCTGTGTGGCTGAACCACAATGCACCTGCTGCTCATGACAAATAATGATCTTGAATCTTGAACTGTTTGCTTTTGCTAATAGACACATGGTCCTTCATTAGTTTTTAGGGCAGTTAAAAGGAGGAGAGGCGGTCTATTACAGCCCACTGCTTCCAGAGAGTATAAAAGATTGTCTTGCCTCACATAAAACGGATCATTATAATGTAAAGTGTGAAGTATTTCTGGGCACCTTTTCTTCAGCCGCTAACTCACAGTCATTACCCTGATCCTTGGGCTATGCCCCCGCTCTCTCCAGATACTCTTCAGGCACAACTAAATGAGAAACGCCCAGCATGAATGCTCGATCTGTGCTGATTATGCTGATAATGGAAACAATAAAATTCTTTATTCTCTCAGTCCTATCTGTGCAATTCTAACGTTGGGTATGAAATCTATTTAAAGATCGACCCATCTACAGATCATGTTGACTTCCAAAGACAGTTACACACCCTTTAATATGTGTTAACGATGATTCAGCTTCTCAGTTCAATATTTTGTCTTAGTCTAGACCAATACAGTAGGAGTGTGAACAGTGGTTTTCATTTTTATACAGTCAACAGCTGAAACAAGTGTGAAACATAAGAGCTGGAGGAAGATAGGCAGAACCTAAATGGAGCATAGAAAGAGCACCATAAATGAAGGAAACATAAAAATAAACCAGTTCTCTCAATGAAAAGAGGAAGAGCACACCAGGCTGAACCTCCCTGCAGAATGCCTCAGGCTTCCCAAACAGAAGGAACCTCTTAGGACATTAACAAGGGAAATGGTCTCATCAGAGTTTCACTGTCATTACTGCACTGGATGTGAAAAATAATGTGTCTGCGTTACTCATCTTCGCTGTGCGCTATGCTAACGTCTAATTGTCTGCTGTCTAATTATTCTTTATTTATGGCGTACTGTTGAATTGGTTGTGGCTAAATCAGTTAGCATTCCAATGCCCTTGCACATGGCCAATCAGTCACCATAGCAATAAAAACAATTCACCTAGGCTCATGTTCATCCCACACACATACATTTTCTTTTTTATTCTAATTAGAATGAACATGTATCATATTTTTTTTGAGCTTTACTCACGGCAGTCTGCAGGCTCATCAGATCCATCGCCACAGTCGTCCACAGTATCGCACTTCCACCAGAAGGGGATGCACTCGTCTGTCCCGCAGCGAAACTGCACAAGAGGTGAGACCACCAGCAACAATATAAACAAATCTGCAGCGCTGCTGATACCGTTAACCAAACCGAGCACGTTCATTAGAAGGCAAACACTGCCATGAAACTGCATCCATCCATCCATCCTGAAATGTCTTTTTTAGGGTCACAAGAGGAGCCGATTCTATGGGGCGCAAAGCAGGGAACAACCCAGGATGGGGCAACAACTGATCACAGGGCATGCTCACATACCAATGACTCACACGTGCAACCAATGGGCAATTTGGTGACTCCAATATACTTCAGGACGTTTTTGGACTGTGGGGGGAAGCCTGAGTACCAGGAGAAAACTTCACAACTACAAGAGTAGAACAAGCAAGCTTCACACTCATGGAACCCAAACCCCAGAGGTGTGAGGCAACAGTGCTTGCTGTGAAACTCGGCACAGAATTAATACTAATGGCAAATTTGCAGCATAATCAGACAGCTAGTGTATGCATACATATCGCACGTGTATGTTTCACAAACACTGAATGCTGCATATTCATCGGCCTAATGACGTCCAGAAAAATCCTTCTCTCTACCTTCCCACACAATTTGTTGACCCTGCAACATAATCATATAAAAAATAACCGGGTCCAAACTCTAAATTATGGGTACATTCTTTATTAGTGATCCACCCTGGGTGCAACACAGACACCAACAGTGTGAACAGCTGTTTTTTAAGACAAACAAATACAATTAACATAATTAGCGAACACCAGTAGGTTATTCAGGTAGCACAATTGGTTTTCCTTAAAAAACAGCTGTTTACACTGTTGGTGTCTGTGCTACACCCCTGATGAAATGAATGCATCCTTCTGAGTTCGAACCCCATTATTGCTTGTATCAGGGATTCCCAACTTGCAGCAGCATTGTTCATTACCAAAAATAAACGGTACCACTTTACAATAGGACTAACCTTATTAATGGGTTATAATCATGTTATTCATCAGGTTGTAACACTTTGTAATCATTAATAGACAATTATAAACTTTTATGAAGCTATAACATAGCGTTTTTTATTATTATTAATGAGTTACCACCATTTATACGTGGCAACGGTGAGCCTTATTCTAAAATGGTACCAAATAAACTTTATGTTTTCTACCCATGCTTTTTTTTTTTTAACAACCACTGACATTCTCATGTCTTGATGGCAACTTTTACTGCCAGCATCAGCAGCGTGAAATGTCAATTTTTGTAACATAAGCTGGTCTGCAGTCATCAAAAGGTTGGAAAGCCCTAGTTTATATGGCAGACAAAGAATCTTGCTAGCTTCTCTCTCGCCAGGGTGCTCCCGGGTCTCACTGGGGGGACGCTGCCGTCTCACCTGGCTGGCCGTGCAGTTGGAGAGACACGTCTTGTTGTCAGCTGCGAGGTAGAAGTTGGTTGGGCAGGCGCACCTGTAGCCACCCCCAGGAGAGATGAGGCACAGGTGGCTACAGCCTCCGTTTGTCATCTGACACTGATGCTTTGGCACTGGGCGCAGCAGGGGAGGGGGGGGGGGGGCAGGTACAAAAATCAAGCACAGTGCAAAGAATCTCTGACAGCCAAAGACACACTTTTCTCAAACGCTGTTTTAATTCAGGGTTCCCTTCCCCATTGTTCCACATATTCTACTTAATTATTTATTTTTTTAATCAGACTGGGATGATAATTACCGTCGGGCTGACGGAGGGGGTGGTACACCTTCACGCCTGTTAAGACGTGCCAGGAACTGAGCAATTCCATTCTCTGGCCCCCCAAGGATTTGTGGCCGCGATTGAGGGACTTGGTCTTCCCGTCAGTCCAGTAGACGTGGTCCTCAAACAACGTAAGACTCATCACGCTGTGAGCATCTGGGTTCAGTACTAGAACAGAACCGGCAAGACATTAATCATAGGACTTATAAGGGAAGCCGACGGAGCATCCAGTGTGGTGCAGGCTGGCAAATATGGCCACACAACGTCAGCTGGATAATCGTCACTGCAATCTGCCGAACCCATAGGTTTGCTTGTACTTTATTTTATTTTTTTGGTAGCTGATACGGAGGAGATTGAACCAAAAGTTACTTCTCTAATGAGAATTACAAGCCACTTGTATGACTGAATGATTGTTAATAAACAACTCACTATCAATGCAGAAAAAATTAAATAGTAAATTAAATACCAAATGTCACACACATTATAATTAGTGATAGGATAAAATAAAATTGAAATAAAACTGTAGGCCATCTTTGGATTTTAATTGGTGTTTTATGTTTAGGTTAAAGCTATAGCAGTGATATTAATAAATGTTGAAAGTGGTTCAAAATAAACAAATTTACAAAAAAGTATGCAATGCGGGCCAATTAGCATCACCTTTAACATTATTTCTCTAGCAATCACATTGTTATATCCTGGCTTCAAGTACCTGGATTACCTTCTCAGTCACTGAAAATAGTGAAGCCCCATTTAGATTTAACAGTGAATTTTGAAGCAGCCATTTAGCAAAACAAATAAGACATCTTACAAATCTATAATGAGTACAGTCGTGGCCAAAACTTTTGAGAATGACACAAATATTGATTTTCACATAAGTCTGCTGCTTCAGTGTTTGTAGATCTTTTTGTCTGATGTTTCTATTGTATACTGAAGTATAATTACAAGCATTTCACAAGTATCAAAGGCTTTTATTGACAATAACATTAAGTTTATGCAAAGAGTCAATATTTGCAGTGTTAGCCCTTCTTTTTCAAGACCTCTGCAATTCGCCCTGACATGCTGTCAAGCAACTTCTGGGCCAAATCCTGACTGATGGCAGCCCATTCTTGCATAATCAATGCTTGGAGTTTGTCAGAATTTGTGGGTTTTTGTCTGTCCACCCACCTCTTGAGGATTGACCACAAGTTCTCAGTGGTCGATGTTTTGTTCCCTGAGCCAGTTAGTTATCACTTTTGCCTTATGGCACAGTGCTCCGTCATGCTGGAAAAGGCATCGTTCATCACCAAACTGTTCTTGGATGACTGGGAGAAGTTGCTCTCAGAGGACGTTTTGGTGCCATTCTTTATTCATGGCTGTGTTCTTGGGCAGAACTGTGAGTGAGCCCACTACCTTGGCTGAGAAGCAACCCCACAATAATGGTCTCACGATGCTTTACTGTTGGCATGACACAGAACTGATGGTAGCGCTCACCTTTTCTTCTTCAGAATTTTTTTTTTCCGGATGCCCCAAACAATCAGAAAAGGGGTTCATCGGAGAAAATGACTTTAGCCCAGTCCTCAGCAGTCCAATCCCTGTACCTTTTGTAGAATATCAGTCTGTTCCTGATGTTTGCTGAATCAACTTTAGGAAACGGTCCTGGCACTTACTGGACTTTCTTGGGCGCCCTGAAACCTTCTTCACAACAACTGAACCTCTCTCCTTGAAGTTCTTGATGAGCCGATAAATGGTTGATTTAGGTAAAATCTTACTTTCAGCAATATCTTTGCCTGTGAAGCCCTTTTTGTGCAAAGTAATGATGACTGCACGTGTTTCCTTGCAGGTAACCATGGTTAACAAAGGAAGAACAATGATTTCAAATACCACCATCCTTCTGAAGCATTCAGTCTGCTATTCTAACTCAATCAGCATGACAGACTGAACTACAGCCTTGTCCTCGTCAACACTCTCACATGTGTTAACGAGAGAATCACTGAAATGATGTCAGCAGGTCCTTTTGTGGCAGGGCTGAAATGCAGTGGAAATGGGTTTTTTGGGATTAAGTTAATTTTCTTGGCAAAGAGGGACTTTGCAATTAATTGCAATCCTGATCACTCTTCATAACATTCTGGAGTATATGGAAATTGCCATCATAAAAACCGATGCAGCAGAATCAATATTTGTGCCATTCTGAAAATTTTTGGCCACGGCTGTAGAGTGTGAATCTCCAAATGGCAAGCCTGAAAAGGCCACAATTAAACTAAAAGTACCATATTAGAAACATCAGCAGAACTACCCCAAACAGCTATAAGAGTCACTATACGACTCGCTGCATGAGAGAAGCCTCAACTAATCCCAGTTGGCCATTAAATATCGAGAAACCATGATGAAACGTCAGGAAACACTTTGGAGAGAACATTCAATGAATGAATATGGATTCTTAATAAATAAAAGATAAAGACAAACCCTCTGCGTGTCCCCATTATGAAACAGGCTGCAGGTGAAGGTGGTTGACCTTAACTGCCACTTGTTTATTTGTTTAAATCAAAGTCAGATATGGGCCCATCCAGGGATTCTGTGAACCAACACACTAGGAGAATATGCACTTATCCACGTGGCTCTAAGCAACGAGCAATTATAGTTTGTCATTACTTACTTTTGTGTCTCTGCGAACCATCCATGTTGGCAAGCATGATGTGGTTCCCATCAGCCCAGTAGATCCTCTTGTTTGTATAGTCGATGGTTAAAGCCACAGGATTATTGACTTCGGTGTTGATAATCACAGCGTAGTCGCTGCCATCCATGCCAATCCGCCCGATGTGAGGGTCCTCACAACAGTCTACCCAGAAGATGTACCTAATCAGGCAGAGAAGAAGGATTTCACTGGCAAGAATCCCAGGATTTCCATAAAAGTACAGCCAGTGCCCTTTGCTAAGTGGGATCACAATATCCAGCATTTTCTCCTGCTAACAACATACATTATGAAGTGAAATTCAGTGCTAGCAGAACCGTAGTAAGAAGTGCATTAAATCAAACCACCTGTTGTTAGTCAAAGTGGGCCATGCGCTAAACACACCTGGGCCTGGAACAAGTCAGTTATATGCCCGTGTAAGCGTTTGTCTTCGGGATGTCAAAGGGGAAAACATGCACCGATCCCTCAGCTACACAGTGAAGGACTGAGTGCAGAACATACCCCGTCTGCGCATCCAGAGCTAGATCTTGAGGCTTCCTCAGGCCCGAGCCCAGAAGCACGGTGGGGTACAAGCCATTTGCTTTGGACACCTCCAGGGTGCGCCTCTCTGTGTCACACCAGTACAGGTTCTTTCCGATCCAGTCCACGGCCAGGGCGCTCGGCACCGCAGACCGGTGGACCACCTGCAGAGGACGAGAGAAGTTGCAGAGAAAGAGACCAGGCCATCATTGAGTTTTAATGCACGCTGCTTATTTTTTCATGGATGGATTTACAGTATTCACCACATAAGGCATAAGAGATAATAAAATGGTTCGCTGTTTGTACAAGTATGAGAACATCTCCTTTTTTTTTTTTTTTTTTAAAGACATACACTCGCACATATGGAGGTGAGAGAGATTTTTGGGGTCTGAGAGCAGGGTCATTCATCCAATGCCCCTGAAGCACATCAGTGGAGACATGGGACTTGATACAATGACATTCCATTCACAGACACAGAGGCCTAACCTGCTGAGCCACATACTGCACCTACAGCTGCACAAGTTTGCATGTCATCCATAGCGCATGACAGCGGACATGCTGTCAGGTGACCTGCTGTGAAATGCCCATGGGCAACTAGCATAGCAGGAAACCAAATGCTGCAGCCATATGTGCACAGAAAAGGTGAGCAGACTTCAAACGGACACTAATCAGCACAAGTGACAGACGGAATTCAAGCGACCGGAACAGAAGTGCAAAGAAATTAATAAATAAGTCCATACAGAAGGATGTTAAATGAGCAATATGCTCCAGGTTAATGATAAAACTGAATTGTCGGAACATTGGCAGCAAATTTGAAATGCATTTGTAAACTGCATACCATTAAAATCAATGCCTTTAGCTAAGTGAGAATTTAATGAAGACAGTGTGATAATACCATCCTTTTTTCCACAAAACAAAAAATTAAGAAATAATAATAATAAAAAAAAAGAATCCAAGCAAAGACAATCATCATGTGCCCAACACTTTTCACTAGGTAATAACTAAATTGGCATAAATATATAGCAGCACATACCAGCTGGGAGATAAAATTGGTTACTCAAAACAGATCTTCATCCAAAACTATATCAAGTGCAATCTGCTTCAGTACGGCCTAATATGCTTTGAGGTCTTGCACAGCTACAACGAGACGTTAATAGAGAGACGTTATATTAAATGTAGTAGCAGGTGAGGGCATCATTGTGACGTGTGAACACAGTGCAGGGTTAGATTAGCGGTGCAGCCTGACCTTCTCATGTTCGATGGGCCAATACGGACCACGCACCCCCAGGGTGGGCGGCGAACGACCCAGGGGGCACTCACTGCATGGATAGGTTTGCATGAGGCCAGGTGGGGGGGGGGGCAGTTCACTGCAGGGTGGATGGGGCTAGCAATCACAATATGCCACTGTCTCTAATGGCTATCGCTAACCTTGTTCCAAAAGCACAACAGGATTATCTTTTTAATTATTTACCATTGTCTGTCACCGTGTCAACACCTTATATATTAAACTAACTTTTGTGTATTTTAATACAGCAAGTGGATCAGAAGGATCTGATTCCAAGCTTGAGATATTTTTATTTATGATATTATAAATGCATTATTATCCATTTATTTCTAAATGCACAGTTATGGGGTGCATAGGTCTCACATGGCTTTGTAACGCTGAAATCATACGGTCTGCAAATAGCTTTGCAATGTTTCACTGGTGCTGGGCAGCCTGGCAAGACCCACGGAGCCTGACACACGATGCTCTTTCAACCGACGCTCACTGAAGAGATCTGCCTCATGACACATGGGGGGGGGGGGGCACAGGCTGATATTAATCTGAGGTCCATTTAGTTTGTATGATAACGCTCATTCAGGATGTCAGCAGCAGACAGAATCCCTGACTTCATTGTGGGAGAGCCTGGCTGCGATTCACTAGAGCTTCCCAGTATAATTCCTAATCCTGCTCTCTCTGAATCCCCCCCCTAAATGGAGTTTGATGTAGACCCCCCCCCCCCCCCCCCCCATCTGCCCCATCAGCTACGCCACTTACCCTCCAATCGTCTTAACCTTTCCACTCTCATATTGATATTGTGAACGCACTGAGTGCATACTTCCTCAAAGAGCCATTTTTTAAGTGATACACACCCCATTTACACCCAACTGAACAACTCTCTCAGGCCCTGCCATGTGGTGGCATTTCATTGGCAGAAGGTAATGAAGAAAGGCATTATGATGGCTCCTGAAGGAAAACCATTTCCCAAGACAGACCACAACCGTCAGCCTTTAAGGAGCCTGGGATTTGGGGCATTCAGACTCAATGGGCAGGTAAATGCTTAATTACCATCAGCCCATTCCCCCGGTTTTACACAGTATAATACAGCCTGTCATAAAAAGGAGAGCTGCTTCACTTTTCCCAGGCTTTACCACCAAAGGAGAGAGCTGGGGAGTAGGCACTGCTTCATTATGTCCTTAGTTAACACTTGACCTGGATCCACAGTTTACCACCAAAGGAGGGAACTGGACAGTAAGACACTGCTTCACTATGTCCTGAGTTAATGCACCTTGGGCCAGGCTTTACCACCAAAAGAGAGACCTGAGGAGTAGGCACTGCTTCACTATGTTCTGAGTTAATGTGCCTTGGGCCAGGCTTTACCACCAAAGGAGAGACCTGAGGAGTAGGCACTGCTTCACTATGTCCTGAGTTAATGCGCCTTGGGCTAGGCTTTACCACCAAAGGAGAGACAGCTACTGTACCTTAAGGTCGCTTCCGTTCAGCCGCATTCTGTTTATCCTGCGCCCGCTGGGCCGGCTGGAATCCACCCAGTATATGAACTCCTTCTTGTAGTCAAAGTCGAGAGCGATGATGTTATTGAGGCCCTGTGCAGGGGAGGGGAGGGGAGATGGGGGTGTTAGCGAGGCTGCCACTGTTATTGACAAGACAGTCATGGTTATATTAGAAATACTCAGCTGAAAGGAGGCAAAAGACGCATAAAATGACCATGTTATGAGTATCATCTTAGTATCTACAGACTGAAAGCCAACTTCTCATTCATTGAGGGTGTAATGGGAATATTTTTAGATGCTCAGAAATACCCAGCTAAGTACTACAGCTGAAGCAGACTCAATAAAATGGCCCGTGGCAGAAATGCTCATGGACAATGCAGAACAGGCACTCAGGCAGAGCAGAATAGGGTAACGTAGACATTTCAGTCCTCCTTCCAGCTGCCTGAGTATAGACGGATGTGGGACTCAGCTTCCGGACAGGCCCTCGGACACAGCAGGGGGAAAAAATGACGGGAGGAACACGGCCTGACATCTCCATCAGTCTGACATTCCAAATGGAGAAAGTCCCTTTGGAGCCATCGCTCTTGGAAGGGCCAAATATGCAGCACCTTGTCTGTGCACATGTCTACCCTCCTGCAGGAGACAATCTCTCCTCGCTACAAAGGCAGAAAATTACACCCAGTGGGTTCACCTGTAAAGAACATGGTCCATCTTTAAAAGAGTGATTGACTTACACCTGGAAGTGAATGTCACAGCAGTTACAGCACTGGGAAAATAGCAAGTTCCAGCTACTAATTAAGAAGTAGAATATAATCTAAACAGAATGTGGCCCTGGATAGACTGCCAGCACCCATATCTATTTTACACGCACCACTGACGTAAACAAAAGTCAAAGGCAATATTCTAGCATGACAATACTCTCCTATTAGTGATACTCTGCAGAAATTCACAATTATGTGATATTGTTCACAGTCTAATTGATTAACTTAATTACCAACCATCCACTTCAAACGTGCTCCAGTGTAGTTTCTGTATTCAAAGTAAACGCAATACAAGGCACAGATCAAAGTGGATCATTCAGACAGTAACTGTAAGCAAGTTCCTCATTACATGTCCATTAATTAGCAGGGAGATTAAAGTGAGCCACCGCTGACTGAATGCCACTCAGCAAAGATAATTGCAATGAAATTGTTTCACAAAGAGCAAAATCGGATTTCCAACATATGAAATTTAGTTTCAATATTACTGCTATTATACATACTATAGAGTACTGCTCAGAAAAGGAGTGTAAGTTGATTGTTATTGTTGCTGATACAGGGGGAACAGCTGGACTGCTATTCTAGGGGGCAGAAAGATTGATGGATGGACTGTAAGACTTTGAACCTGGTGTTTGGTGCCACTGAGGGAGGCTATTTAAGAGGCTCTTTGGCAGGCTTCCTGTCTCTCAGCAGGTTGTTCAGTTTGAGTTAACAGTGAACAGATTTGTAAGGCATGGCTGTGGTTGACAACAGCTATTATTAAAGTATTTGAAGATGTTTGTCTCATTTAGTAGTGAAATGCTACAATATTTTATTTTTTCAGGTATCTCACATTCAGTACCTGTGGTGGTAAATGTTCCTCCACGTCAAACTCTCTCTACTGAACCGCCTTCTCACACTGAAGACCTAATAACAAGAGGCCTAAGTGTCGACAGGAGTGACATGGCCGTCACCACTGGCAACCACTAACTCAACAGCGGCAGACGGGCCAGATGAAGCACAGAGCCGCGGAAAGCCGTGGGACGAATCCCAGCAGAAATTCTCCCATTCCGGGCTGGTAAAAAGCCAATTTATTCTTTGCTGTCCCAGGCTGACAGTTGTTGAATGAAACAGAGAGGATTGATACCGGGACCTGACAGGCGGACACAGGGGAAAGCTGCCTTCTCATTGGCTAATGATTATCATACAGGCATGGACACTGGGGGGACAACCGGCCATTTAATTGGTTAGCGATTACTGTGCAGGCACGGACACAGGGGGAAGCCGCCATCTCATTGGTTAGTAATTAGCGTACAGGCATGGATACAGGAAAAAGCTGCTCTTTCACTGGTTAGTAATTATCAAACAGGCACAGACACAGAGGAAAGCTGCCTTCTCATTGGTTAATGATTGTCGAACAGGCACGGACACAGAGGAAGGCTGCCTTCTCATTGGTTAGTGATTATCATACAGGTACAGACACAGGCTACATTACATTACTTTGGTGGAATCTGTGAGGCTTTAAGACAAAGGTCACATGTAGAGACCCTGATGTTGCCAAATTCCAGTATAAGTCTAAAACAGGGAAGGACGTAAATCAGAGGAGCAACCAAATTACCAGGCTGATCAGACCAGCTACTGGAGGCACGACAACATTAGCACAGCCTTTGTTATGAGCAGGGACTGGGACACACCAACCCTTCCCATTGGGCCTGGGGCAACATCCCCAGCTGTCCCACCGAGACGGTGGGCGTGCAGTGTGGGCCACCCTACCACCAGCATCAGATCCTACTAAAAAGTCCCTGTCCTCAAATAAACCAAGAAGAGATCGAGTGCCAGCTGACAGCCGTGCTACTGGGTTAATTAAAATGGTTTTCATGGGGAGCGACATGCAATGCAAAGCTACCGACGAAAGAGGACGCTTAAACAGGATACTTATCTGCCAACAGCATCCATACCGTCATCTCTAAATAAAAGCACAGGCATCCTGCATGGTGCCAGCCTGCAGCAATTACACTGTCACAATGTGAATGTTTCAGCATTAAGAAAGCAGTCCCACACTATAGTGTGGCTTCTTGTTCCCAGGAAATTGCGTTCTGTTTTGTATTTAATAAACTCACTTTAGATAACGTCATATTGTAGCTGTGTCATTTTAAGGTATGTTTAAAACGCATTTTCAACTGATTGAATACTGAGTTAGTCCTTTGTTTAATTGAAGCATTTTTGATTTGTGAATAAGGTAATGCAGTTAAGACTTCAATTATTGAATTGTTTAAGGGCGAGAGCAGGCAGTGCCAGCGGTCGTGGTTATCGCAGCTGCGACACGAGAACTGTGCTCACTGGCTTGTCTACAGCCGAAACATTGTGAAATCTAAACGGGAGCATTACATCACAATGCTGGTCACTATTGATTGGTTCAAAACTCAAAGACAAAGTATTCTGTGAACCAATTTAACCCTCTGGGGACTAGGGGTAGGGAACACACTTTCACTGACTGGGGAATGATTACACATTTTTTTCAATATCATAAAATTAATTCATAGCAAATAAATAATTTCTTATACAGTGGTACCTCTGCTCTCGAATTCATTAGAACTCAAATTTCTTAAAAGACGAACCAACCAGTTAAAAAAAAAATGACCTAGAACTCGATCTGAAACTCAAAAGTCGAACCGTGAATGCCAAACTAAGATAACTTGTACACGCGGGGAAATGAGTCATGCGGCACGTCTCTCAGCAGAAACAAAGGGTATATGCTTCAGTCTCAGCCTCGCATTGGCTGTGATAGCATCGTTTGCTGGTGATAGTGCTTTTTTTATTGAAAATACTGTATCAGGTAATACACTGTACTTTATATCATTTTGGTAGCCATTGCTCACCAAAAAGTTACGCAAGAGTTGTACAAATATTACAACCTAAAAGTTTGCGATTTACGAACAAATGAACGGATACAGAGTAATAATAAAAATAAACAATGAACCACATGGCGCATAGTCTAGTGTTGCCGCAGTGTTGGGGTATGGCTTGGGGTTGTCACGATCTCTCGAACCAGGACCGAGGAAGCAGGGACAGGACTCAAGCGATCGGGAAACACAGGGTTTAATTGAGAACAGGCAGAACAACACAATGACGTTACAATGACCGGACCGGGGAAACAAACTGAAACGCGGACTAAATACAGAGGACTAATGACAACAACCAGAAACAGCTGATCACCCAGGGATTCCACACAAGGTTAACGAGGGGGGGTGGCACACGGAAGGAGCGGACGATCTGGGCAGGACAGGGGTAGTGTTGGGGTACATTCTTTATTGCTTTGGTAGCCATTCAAGAAAAAAAAGTTCTTCTTGTTTTATCCTGATCATTTTGTATTTAAATGCTAAAAAAGAAAAACATATTTAGGTATATTTTTTTGGGGCCGGGAACCAATTATTTGGTTTCCATTATTTCTTATGGGGAAAATTTGATCAGAACTCGAACTTTTTAGGATTTGAACCCGAGTTCTGAACGGATTAAGTTCGAGTTCTGAGGTACCACTGTATATTTGTTTTAGCATTACATTCATCATAATTTTAATGTATATTGTAAATATGTCAGATTTATGTTAAGTTTTTAATCTGACGTCAAAGTATAGACATTGCAAAATGCAGTTTGGAACACTTACAGAAACATTATGAAAGTACATATTAAGCAATGGTGCCAGTTTGTTTTGATCCCAGATATCTGATCACCAAAAGTCTTGGGTATATAACGCTGATTAAATGGTGTAGTTGCAACATTCAGTTGGATAAATAAATAAGAAAAGCCTAACTCATGTCACTATTTCTGGCCTCCTTGCACTAAATATGTAGGAGCTCTCATGTGTATGCATGAGCCATTCACACCTGGCCACACCCCCCCCCCCCCCCCTTTTTATGGTGCTGATGGGGATGTATCTGGATCGCGTTTCACCATTGCGTTGTTCATCAAATTACCATGCAAATGCGATTTGAATATGCGCTAATGTGAATCGCCATCTTCAGGTGACAGTGGTACTACACGCCCCCGATGCAGGTAAAACAAAGTAAGGTGACATGGTTTACTTTTTTGCCTACTTAACCTAATTTTAAAAACTTTAATACTTCTGACAATGGACATTTTGAAAAGAAGACAGATTACGGATTTAGTCAGAGATTTTTTTCATGTTTCTACAGTAAGATTTCAGCGAGTTATGAACTGAAATACACGAGAAAGATACGCGGCATCGCCGATGATGCCGTCGACCCCAGAGGGTTAAATGCATCATGGCTGGTTTGAAAAGGGGAAGATTGGAGAAGGCTTCAAAAACATGAACAACACTTGCATGCATTTCCTGGAAAAAAAGGGTTTGCTGCTTTCACTTTTTAATTAATTGGATAAGCCAAAGTGCAGAAAAAAACATCGGAAAGTAATCAAAAGTGTATACTGCAAAAACAAACAATCCTGCTATCTGTTCTATAACAAAAAAGCGGGCAAGCTCCAACAGTCCCACCACATCATTGCCCGTGGGCTACTCTCAGTGAAGACACAGAGAAGAAATTACACAAATACACCGGTGCCCAGCACCACTGAACATTAAAAGGGAAACAAAAATATGCACAATGGCCATTTTTACCAAGTAACACAGTCCTCTAACACAGTGTTTCCCAATCCGGTCCTCAGGTATCCCCAGCCAGTCCATGTTTTTGGGAGCAAAAACTTGGGCTGCCCCAGAGGACTACGTTGAGTTGACATATGTAAACCAACCTTTAGACATAACTCAAACCAACAAAACTAAATGAATAAGTTTACACCTTTATAAGTTTATAACAAACAATAACAATAAGTCCTCCCCCAAGTTGGCTTGTAATGGTACAGCCCAAACTTCCTGCCGGAACTGCATATGAAGTCTGCAAACACTCCCTTTGGCGTCACACCACAGAAACTAGAAACTCAAACACAAGACAAGCAGGTGAAACAAACTGACGAGCTCTTACAAGCATAATACTAACTAAACGTGAGCACCTAACTCAGTAACAAAAAGCTTAAATACAAGGCATTAATATGGAAACCATGTCGAAGTGAATTATTGCAAATTAGGTAAAAATGAGTGAGTGAAACGTCTGGGAAGGCATGTTCAGATGAAGACAGCTTTAACATGGCAGTCCAGTTGTGTGGCCCGTCCAGCAGCTATTATGCTCTCAGTTAGGGTCTGGTATTTAAAATTAACATACCATTCTTCAGCTAAACCTAACATACCATTCTTCAGCTAAAGCTAAAAAAAGGAATGGAAAAAGTGAGAAGACTATTAAAACAAAACAGAAGCATATTCAGGTTGATTGTGCAAGTATTCAGCCGGTGTGCTCTGGTAGGTAAAAATAACCAAAAAATAAAAAACTTAATAAAGATAAAAGCATAGCATTGGGCCCAATCTGCGCACTGCTGAAGGGCCAGTCATATTTTCGGGACTAAAAACCCATCTTTGTTTAGGGATCAGTGGTCAGGCACTGAAACCAGAAAGGAAAGGTGTAAGAATAAGGGCTAACAAATATTAGAGGAGAAAAGTTATACAAATACATACAAATGCAAAACGGAAATTTCAAAGTCATCTGACACAGCAGCAGGGTTTACCACCACTTGAGCCATGTATCTGCATGGTGCCCCCAAGGTTTGGAGCCCCCTGTCTCAGACAGTCACTACTCAATAATAAGCAAATGTGTTCCTCATTTTTAGGAGATGAAGCAGCATGTTCTGCTAACCAGCTAGCTAGCTACCATCTTCTGACTCTATTCGCTATATACAGTAAGTGATTTTTTTGAGTGGGGCCCCAGTAACAGCAGACCTGTCCCTGCAGTGTTTCCCAACCCAGTCCTCAAGGAACCCTGGACAGTCCACGTTTTTGCTCCCTCCCAGCTCCCAGCCAATCAGGAACACCGAATACCTGGTATAGGCACGCTGGTAGCTGAGAGGAAGCAAAAATGTGGACTGTCCGGGGTTTGCCGAGGACTGGTTTGTGAAACAGTGTTCCTGAATGGACATTCTAGTAACTAGCACTGCATCAGTACCTAAAATGCGAATGCTGTATCACACCACCCAGGTCAACGTCCTCCAAAACTCCAGAGAAGCAATCTTGTGACGTATGACAAAGAGTACTCAGCAGGGAAATCCTACACAAGTCAATTATCTCAAGCTAGACTGTAAGGGAGGCTGGCAAGAAGTAAAACTACTACTCAGAAACCACCTCAACGTATGCTTGGGGTCTACACAAAAGGCACAGATGAGATGAAGACAGATCTCTGGCCATGATTCAAATCACTATGTGCAGTGTCAACCTAAAAGTGCTGATACCCACAGCTTTTCGGCACCAGGGATGGTCAGAATTAAGGGAGAGATAGAAGGAGAAAAGCAGAGCAAAATACTGCAAAAGAATTTATACAGGTCTGATTAAAAAAAATGAACCTTGGAAGAAAAGTTATATTTCAAGAGAATAACATGAATGTGAGCGAGTCACCAGTCAGTCTCAATCTGAATCCCATTGGGGATTCATGATATGGTTTGAAAAGTGAAGCCCGCAAGTGTCATCCAATGAATTGGAAAGACCAGGAGCAAATCAACCCAGTGGAATGGATCAAAATGACTATAAGCACATGTGCAAAGCTGGATAACAGTCAACCCAAAAGACTTCACTATTGCTGCAGCTAATACTGCAGGTTTATGGTTACAAATATGTGTAGAATGCAGACTTATAACAGTCAAAACAACCAAAAGTACTGCAAAAATGTGCAATAGTCTAAATACTTTAAAACACTACCTAAAAACCGTATAAAGGCAAGGTAAACATAAAATTCTAAGAACTTTGAGTAATCAACAAAAAGAATATAAAAGAAAACAATGTAAAAGAATTTTGAGCTATAATTCACAAAAGAATGCAATGTTTTTTCTTGCAATAATTACATGCAAAGTAGTCTATATTATCAAGGCAATGCAGCGTTTTAGTATAAGAGATAAACCAATAAAAGTGCAAAAAGTTACTGGTCATATCAATGGAAAATTGCACCAAGAGAGACCGGCACTAATTAAACAGAGGATGCATTTGCTAACAGACCACAGAGCATCATGGAAGCCAGAGCCTTCGCATAACATTCACTAACCAAAGTGGAACTGGGGGCACGCTTTCTAGTGTCTTTAGAGCTCCCTTAGATGATTTAATTCAGAAGACTGAAACTGATGGAAATTAAATCAAAATTGGTAACTTTTTATGAGCCTCCTTTCTGGATGTCTCCACAATGATCTTCATCACGGAGGGCATGAGCAGGTCTGTTACTGAGTAAAGTTGAGCAGACAGCCAAATATATTCAAACTTTATTTCTGCAGCCGCCTCTAGAACATCGAATGCTGAGCCCATGAACAGTCCATTCATCTCACAGCCAAACAAACAGCCATGAAACACGGCCGGACGCCAAGCTATAATCGCATCCCCACAAATTCATCCTTACCTGCTTCAGGAGGGTGTAATTGGAGCCATCGATACTTATTTTCCTGATCTCGTGATGGTCAGCCAGTATCAGAAAGGGTTCCTCGGCTGGAGAAACAAAGCAGAAGTCGATTAACACCCGGGAAAGCATCACTACACAAAACATTGATCACCAATACGATGTTCTGTACTGTTTGAGGGGCCCGGAATCAAAGTTAAACAGGCTTTTAAGCTGGGTTAATGCAAGCTGACTGATTGCATTATGGGAACAAAATCAGCCAGCACCTGCTGACACAAGGATACACACATTTGTCCTGCATTCCAGACTCATTAGTTCTGTTTCCCTATGAGATGCTAATCTCTTATCAGCTTCCTGTCATGGGAGACCTTTGGAGCTGCATGAGGCAGCCATGCACAGGCAGAACCTCCTGCTTGTTTTTGTTTATTTTTCATTCTTCATCTTCTCTGTACCGGCTTGGTACCAGCACACAGATGTTCAGTTCTGCGAGCTGCCTTCCAGCTAGACATCTAGGATACAGGCCGAACCTCACTCTCAGCCAATCAGGAGCCGTGATCCAAAACCTCAGATGACAGCTTGCGTCAATTCGTTCCATGCAACAGAAGGACAAACTGCGAGGCACCAAGGACAGGCGAAGAAAAGGGAAGGATGCCGTGTCTTTGCAGCAAAGAAAACAAGGAAGTAGGCGAGCCATACCTGAGAGGGATTTGCAGCTATTGGGACTGTTGGCTGGGGCTTCGTAGCCGTCTGCACACAGACACTTGTACGATCCATACATGTTGATACAGAGCTGGCTACAGGGCAGGCTGGATGAGCATTCATCAATGTCAACACAGGTTTTCCCATCATCCTTCAGGCGGAATCCTGGCCAACATTTACACTGGATACACAGACAAACAAATGACATGCATGAGTTTGGATCGTGGCCATCGCAAGGCAGGGAAAAAGGAAGCAAATTGCCTCGATTTATGCGAAGAACTGCCAATTGCGCTGTCCGACGGGATCTGTTTTCACGTGTGGCCCAGGGTTTCTGCCCCTGTATCTGCATCTGTAGCTGGGATGTTCCCATATGAAACATGATTTGCTGCTGTTGGAAATGACAGCATCATACTCTGTGGGAAGCCCTGTCATTTTATACTTCTGCGTAGAATCTACGCCATCAGTAAACATGTAGGTTATGACATACAGTAGATTCTACGCATTAGTATAGGTCAGCCTTAAGCCGTACTTGTCCCACACTCACCAACTTGTACAATTTATAGATGTAGTGGATGGATCACTTGTAAATGTGAAAGTTAAGTACAATTTGACTGGATGGATGGATAACTGGAATGTAAAAGTTAAAAAATGTGTTTTTACCTGAATGCTGTGAGCCCAGACATATGTCTGAAAGTATTATTTATAAGTAACATTCATTCACTGCACATTCCATTACATGACAATTCAAAGAATCTTTCTTCACTATTTGGTGGTTACTTGTATTCTTTGGTGTATGTTTTGATGTCCATGTCTGAAAATGTCATTCATGTTATTATTTATAAACAATTTATTGATTATGACCTGGGACAGATTTATATTTATAACGAAATATTAAAATCAATTTGAACACATTAACTTTACACATTACATGATGCCAACAAATTTAAATAATTAAAGTCTGATAGACAGACACCACATTGCAACCACATAATCCTGTTCCCCCACGTGCGACAGAATCAGTAAATACTACAAACAGCGCCGACACCATGCTGTGACATCTCCCAATCACCATGCAGAGAAGCCGGGCTTCCAGGTGGGTCTAAAATTTCTGATGCAAATCTTTCTTGCCTAAGCAAAACCTATGTATAAAGCTCTCATAAGCTGTGTCCAAATTCAAGGGCTGCATTCTTTAAAGGATGTGGCTGGCATAGACTTCATAGACTGCATCCTTCTAAAAATCTGCAAATGAATCTTGGGATAGGTTTGGCTACAAAGGATGCATCGGGTGCAATCTTTGCGGAACGGGAAAAGAAGGAAGCTTTTCTAGGCCGCATTCGAAGGAGTGTTTGAAATGGGACAGCCTTGTCACACCATTGTGACGCATTTTACCTTCAAATGCAGCCACTAAAATGGTACCCAGATATACACTGTAGTCTCGCAGAGAAGCACAGTGTCCAGACAGGCTCAAAAAACATGGAATCTGAGCATTATTCGGCAATAAGCTTTTGTCTATTGTCCTTTTCGACAAAGTGTACAAGAATCTTCTATAGACGTCCTGTGAAGCACGGTGTCAATGGGTCTATGGGCTGCATTTATTCTGGGTTCAAAGGGAAAATCAACGTATATGCTGTCAAAAGCAACTTACATGAAATGATCGGCGCTGTGATTCAATTCAGTCAGATTATGCTTTTAACTGCATAATAAAATGCATTTCCATTGATACAATGACAAATTCAATTCTTTTGGTAATTTTAAGGGCGCTTCCATTAAGTAGTGCTTCCTGTGTAGTCTTAGAGCAATCGCTATCTGGAAATCTGGAAAACCATTTTGTGTGTCTGTGTGTGTGGTCATGTATATATTACATTGTGGGGATACAATGTGATAGAAACCTGTTATTTTGACGTAGGTCAATTTTTCGCTCCCCACAATGGAAAACTCAATTTTGTAAAATTTGTGACTTCAATCAAAAAACTAAAAATGTCAAAATTCTTGGATTTTGTTTGGTCACTTATGGTTAAGGTTAGGGCTGGGTAGGGGTTAAGGTTGTCATTGTTGGGATTAGGGTTATGCCCATAGAAATTAATGGATGGTCCCCACAAAGATATCAACACAAACGTGTTTCTGTGTGTGTGTATCCTCCATTGATCTTGTCGTGGTGGAGCTATGATGTTAGTGCTTAGTGCGCAGCCAAAGTGTGGTTTGCAATGGGCACTTTGGATCTCTCCATTTGTTTGTGCATCCATTACTGTTACTTTAGTTTATCATTATTTTCTGAGTTTGTAACTATGCTTTTTCAGGATGGTGGCTGTATTTTGCGCTTGTGAGGCAGTTTTTTGAATAAGCAATCGACAATAAACATGTTTGCAAGTCGCCAGAAATTACCAAAAAAGTACCCAGGTGGTTTGGTACTTTTGGTCCTGGTATCTGACTGGAAATAAATGCTAAAGGTAAAGTATGAAATTTTGAGTACCAAAACTATGATACATGGTGCTGTGGAAAAGCGCCCCAAGATCCCCATAGAAAGTAAAAATAAGGACCATGTGACTCTGCTTGGATTGGGGCACCTGGTGGCTGGGCCTCTACCCATGGGGCCTGGCCATGCATAGATGAATAGCCTGAAAGAATAACATGGGTCCACCCATAGGCTGAAGCTCAATTATTGATTTTGGCATCGTATCGCTAGATCTGTGGCTGCATGTTTTGGACACTGCCGATTAATCATCACCTGGTAGCAACTTGGATCAGATGGCAGGGGAAAATGCCAGATAGACCTGGTACACCCAAATGCATAGTGAGGTGCTGGCAGGCCAAGCGGAATGCGCCTTTGGCAGCTACTGAAGCAAAAACTCGGATGTGGGAGAAGTTTGGTGAAAACATGGAAAATGACTTTTGGTTGGCGTTGAAAAGATTCTGGCAAACCGTCAGGAAGCTCAGGAAAGGGAAGCAGTACCCTGCATCCCACGGCCATACCTTCCATAGAGGAAGTAGAGCTGGATGACTCAGAGGAGGACTCACTAGAGCTGAGGTCACTGAAGTAGACTCTTCAGTGGTAAGACTGTGAGGGTTCCTGAAAGGCTGGTTGATGCGCCTCTTTTGCATGGAGGTTCGGGATAGTGCCTTTGATTTAGCAGACTGGGGTGGTAGTCCCAATATTTAATAAATGGGACAGTATCAGGGAGATCACACCATTCACCTCAGGTCCCTGTATAACTGGAGCCACAGTTTGGGTCGCATTGATGAGTCAGACTGGATGGGTGTTGAACTTCACCAGGGTTGCCCTTTGTCACTGATTTTGTTCATAACCATTATGGGCAAAATTTCTAGGCGTAGCCAAGGTGCGGAGGGGATCCAGTTAGGTGGTTTTAGGATTGCGTCATTGCTTTTTGCAGATGATGTAGACCTGTGGGCTTAATTGGGCTGGGACCTGCAACATTCACTAGGGTGGTTTGCAGCTGAGTGTGAACCGGCTGGGATGAGGATCAGGACCTCGAAGTCTGAGGCCATGGATCTCGAGTGGAAAAGGGTGGATTGCCCTCTTCTGGTGGGGGATGGATTACTGCTTCAAGCGGCAAGTATCTCAGGGTGTTGTTCACGAGTGAAGGAAGAAAGGAGCAGGAGCTCGACAAGCGGAGCAGGGCAGTGTCAGCAGTTATGCAGATGTACTGTTCTGTAGTGGTAAAGAGAGAACTAAGCTGGAAGGCACAGCTATCACTTTACCAGTCGATCTACGTTTCTACCCACATCTATGGTCATAAGCTCTGGGTAGTGACCGAAAGAATGAGATCACAGCTACAAGTGGTACAATTTCCTTCACAGCGTGTCTGGGCTCAGCCATAGAGACAGGGCGAGGAGTTCAGACATTCAGGAGGAGCACAAAGTAGACCCACTAGCTCCTTTGCATCAAAAGGAGCCAAATGGAGTAGTTCGGGTATTTATGTAGAATGTCTCCTGAAAACCTCCTTGGGGAGGTGTTTCGAGCATGTCCAACTGGGGCTGGGGAGATTATATCTATTGGCTGGCCAGGGAATGCCTTGGCATTCCCCTGGCAGAGCTGGAGGAGGTGGCTGGTGAGAGGGAGACGCTCTATATATATATATTTTTTTTTTTTTTACACACACAAACACACACGCACTTGTATTTACTTTGTGTCCATTATTCATTTCCATGGGAAATCCCTAATCCCAAGAATAATAACCTTAACCCCCACCCAGGGCTAACCTTAACCCCAAGCAACCAAACAAAATACAAGACCTTTGGCTTTTTTTTTATAAGCTTACTGTATACATTCCCCCCACCTCTACAAAAAATAAAAGTGACATAATTAAGTTCCCCACGATATACGTCACCAGCAGGCTACCGAACTGCTTCAGAAAGAATCTGATGAATGGAGAGTCTAGGTATCAAAAATCTACTTCATACGGAATATTCAGAAAATCATGTCGCACCTTACAGTTTTAAAATTACTAGTCTGCAAAAAGATTCATGAAATACGTTTAGATGAAAGATGGCTGTGCTCACAAGATGGCAGCTACAGGCTCCATTTTCACTCTCGGCTGCCCTCTGTTTGCAGTTCCGATTTCACTGCCCTCTGTTTGCAGTTCCAGTTTCACTGCCCTCTGTTTGCAGTTCCAGGTTCACTACCTCTGTCATTGCGGTTACAGTTTTGGATCTGATCCGCTTTATATTTTTAGGTGTAGATTTTCATCCATATACTGTTTTTACGAAGTGATAATTAGATCCAGCAAAGAGGAAACTGAGTAAATGATAACAGATCCTGATCACAAGGATAAACCTCTAATCATTTCATTCTTCTCTTTGCTGTCACTAAGTGACACTGCTTTGATTTTGGTGTGGATTTTCTAAGTTCCAGGTCTTCACCTATACAATATAACTGCAAAATTTGAGAAAGATCGGCCAAAGATTTTTTTAGTTACCATGCTGATAAGATCAAGTGTCTGAGTTGCCCTCCTCTTTGCTGTCATTATGCTGCTTCAATTTTGGTACATTTTGTCTAAAAATGTGATCAGGTCCAGATGTTCAACCTTCAAATGTCTGCAAAGGCTGAGAAAGCACTGGCAAATACTTTTCAGTTATGGCAATAGCAGGATCAAACATCTGAAAATAGCCCCTTTTGTATCCTGCTATCACTATGTAGCACTATTTCAGTTTTGGGGCTATCAGTCCCAAAATTTGATCTCTTCCAGTTTGTCACTCTTACAATTCATTTGTAATGTTTGAAAAAGATCAGTACAATAATCTCAGAGGTACTATATTCACAAGACCAAGTGTCTTCTGCAGCTGCCGTTTCCTTTGATGCCACACAGGGCTGCTGCTTCATGTTTGGGGCAATTTGTCTGAAAATGAAACCAGGTGTCGATCTTCATCTATATAATGGTTTTGTGAAGCATTAATAAGATTCGTGAAATACTTTTTGACTTATCACATTCACAAAGTCAAATGACGTCTGCTTTCACCCTTCCCTTTGCTGCCACACAACAGCATACTTCAATTTTGTAGAAATCTATCTCAAATTTTAGTCATTTACAGGTTGGCATCCAATTCCTCTGAAAAGTCTGAAAAAGATCCATCAAATGCTTTTAGAATTATCGCCCCAACCGGATCAAGTGTCAAATCTGCCCCTTTTTTGCCATTACCATGGGGCACTGCTTCAAATGTAATCAGTTTTAGTGCCATGTAATCCGTTTTAGTGCCATACAATGCCTGTGCAAAGTCTGAAAAAGATCTGTCAAACGGTTTTTGAGTTATCACCTTACATAGTAAAGTGTCTGTGGTGGAGGTAGACCGGTGTTAAAATCATATATATTCTCCATGATCCAGAGAGTCGATTTGTGGTGAACAGGATGCTGCTCTGGTGTCATTGTTCTTTTCTACAAGGATATCAGAGCAGTGACTCAGTAGAATAAAAATAATTGAAACATGGAATATATTTATTAATATAATTCAACTTTCAGCATTTCTTGTCCTTTTTTAGTCTAAATAATTCCTACATCTGTGTTCCAACAGCTTCTATAGACTCACCCTGTATTCTAAATAGTGATGTTTATCATTTATTCAAATAAAACAGCAGTACTGAGCCAAACTCATTTGATTTTTAGTCCGAGCCAAAGATTATAATTTCTATAGACTCATATTCACTGGAATGACACATGCCGTGGTTTAGGCCTGACACTTCTGCATGCGATTCACTTTAGCTGGAATTAGCAGTTTCTCCCAGAGGTCACTGATGTGTGACTCGTCTGGCCAAAGGGCCGACCGATCATTACAAACGACAGACTGCACCAGAGCAGGTCCCAGCTGATGCAGTGCCCACAAAAATGGTCTTTTCAGCAGACTAGCTTCATAAAATCACCCTACTAACTCCAAGACTATTAATGCTGCTACCCTGGGCAGCTGTTTTACACTTGACACTTTGTTCATACCCACGCCCTTCATATCAACACTGTCACCTAATTTTAGGCTGCATATTATTCTATATTCAGTCCTTTAGGAAGCCGAGGTGCTCTGAAACCCCTTTGCCTCACACTCGCTCTGTACGCTGCTCTTCACTGACAGGGAAACATGGACTTGCCCACTAGGCTCTAGTAATACCAATCTACCACAAACTCCTTGTGAATCAGTCTGTAAAAAGCCTGCTTGACTTTAAATACATTTAAGTACACTAATGTAAACATTTATTGTGAAAATCACTAAATATTTAGGCATTATATCATTGAGGTTGGAACCCTTGAAACAACATAGCATCAACATTTGTGCCTAAGAATCCTATACTTTAACCAGAATGAACATCTCTTATTAATTTGACCCACATTTAATCCACTTCATTGACTGTACTGATCTAAAAGTTCCCACTGCAATGCTTTAAGAATGTGTTGTTTGAAGAATCAGACCAGACAAAAAAAATCATTCTTTTTTTGGGCGGGTGGGGGCATTATACAGATCCTGAGTAGGCTGGATATTATAGTGAGTATTAACTGCCCCAAGCTGTGCACATATGCATCCCAGAAACCATCTACAGTCTTGTGGAAAAACCCCACAGCTCACTTCCGAAAGCTCGCGTGAAGTTGTGCTAGTCAGCGATCTGCCGGAAGGACCTTGGCTCAAACCTTGTATCCGACCGGGAGGTCTTGGCAGTCCTGGGAGCAGCCGCTGATGCGCCGGTTCAGGCACTCATTGACGCGGCAGTCTCGCTCGTCCGAGCGGTCGCCACAGTCATCCCTCCCATCACAGAGGCCCGCAGCGGCGACGCAGCGGCCGTTGGCGCACATGAAGAACGAGCCATTGCAGAGGCTCTCTGGGGACACATGGAGCATGGGTTGGGGGGGCTGTTACAGTATATTCGGACGTCAAGGATAAGGGGCAGCAACATGGCCATGAAGACATAGGGAAATGATTGGGGGGGGGGGGCAGTGTGGAATCTGTGGATGTGTGAGGGAACTGAAGTCAATCCTGACTGAGAAAAGGCCTCCAAACAAGAGCCTTCTCTCATTCACATTATCTGCTGTGTGCAGGATTCCACAGCACTCCCACTCAGACAGAAGCACATCCACATGATGAATTTTTGATATTGCTGAGACTGATTCACTGTGTAAATTCAGTTCAATGTATGTTTAATATTGGTTTACTTTGCAATACATGCTCATTTTCTGGTAACGTTTCTAGAAACAAGCCTACAAGTCTACAAATACAGAGAAAAAAATAGTTTATGGATGAGGGGGAAAAGATAGCAAATGAAATAGGGAAAGATAGAGAGAGAGAGAGTGCATAAAGCAAATAGTGAAAGAGATAGAGAGGGGGACAGAGAGATAGAGCAAGGGACATAGTGAGAGAGAGACAGTGAGGGAGATAGAGAGAGGAGACAAGCAGTAAGAGGGTGTCAGAAGCACGACCTGCCGCATCATCCTCACTCTAAACTACCCAGCAGGCATGTAAGGAGGTGGACCACTGTCAGTCACTGTGTCCATGCTGTGGGCGGAGCCTTACCTGCCGCAGAACACTTGGGATTCCGGGGCAGCTCGTCGGAGCCATCTACACAGTCGGGCTGGCCGTCACACTCCCACTGGGCACTGAGAAGGCACCGCCCATCGGCGCAGCGAAACTCCTCCTCCCCACAGGAGCGGTAAGCTGCATGGGGCACAGGGCGGGCGCACATACCGTTACTGCGGCTGGAGAGGGACGAAGCACCAACCATAGCTGTTCAGCAGATGATTCTATGGCTTACCGCTGAACATTTGACTCTTTTGAACATTTACTTGGTTACAAGTTGGTTGTTCACTGAGGTAAAGCAGGTTAACGACCTCATCGAATACACACCCAGCTTCTTCTCTCGGCTGTAATCTGTAAACTCTTTGGTTTGCTGCATTTCTTAAGCGCAGTGCCACCCTGCGGAGTCGAACCGCCTCAAGCTCTGGCTGGAAAGCCAGCAGGATCAGCTGGAGCCCTATGAAGCTCTGCTAATGTAACAATGTGTCATTTCATCTGTGCTTGTGGAGAAAATGTAGGCCCCTGATGGGCATTTAACAGGGTGTGTGGCATTAGCAGGCTGCTACCTAGCGCTCTGCTATTCTGCTAAAGTTTTACGTCCAGTTGGAGCATGAAATTAATTTTGAGCCCCCTTGCAGAGATAAAACATGAATTAAGTTTCTGAGCCAAATTCGAATGTTCAAGTGCATTCCCCCAGGATGCCTTACGCCGCTTAATAACTGAGATCTGAGCGATCAGCAGGTGTAGGTGTCAAGGTGGCATGGGGTTCTGATTCTTTGAAGGAAGCGGCGCTTGAGGTACAGTCCAGTACTGATCTTTGGAAGGTACCGGAAGGTGGAAATGCAGAATCGTACTTCTGTTGAGCAAGGGATGGTTTGATTTTTTGTCCCCCATCCCCCCCCCCCCCCACACATTGCCCCCTCAAGATGTTTCAAAAACTATATAAGTCGCTAGTGAGTCATGCTGACAAGAAGATTGTTGCTGTCTAGCTGGTTAGCAGAACATGCTGCTTCAGCATCTCTTAAATAAGGAGTGCACTTCTTTAATATATAGGGTAGTGACTGTCTGCGGAGGCCCCATACAAATGCTTGGTTTGAGTGGTGGTAAACAGCACCATTGCTGGTGAGTAAATGGCATAGAAGGCAACACTGAGGACAGAGAACTACTTGCCGCATTCAGGGGACTCGTCGGACCCATCACCGCAGTCGTCGTCATGGTCACAAACAAAGCGCTTGGGAATGCAGGCCTTGTTTCGGCACAGGAAGGTGTTCTCGTCACACGTGTTGTTGGGAGCTGCGGGTGAGGTGCAGAACCGTCATTAGGCACGTAACCTTTCTGGCACCTCGACCGTGCTGCTACTAGAGAGTCATTATACGGTATCAGCTACAGGACACAAATTCACAGACACATATATTGCAGGAATCAGCTACAGGACACAGTTTTGCAGACACATACAGTATGATACAGAAATCAGCTACATGACACAGCTTTCCACACATATATACTACAGGAATCAGCTACAGGACACAGCTTTGCAGACACATACAGTATGATACAGAAATCAGCTACATGACACAGCTTTCCACACATATATACTACAGGGATCAGCTAGAGGACACAGCTCCCTACACACATATACTACAGGAATCAGCTACACATCACAGTTTCCCACACACATATACTACAGAACACTATATATACTATATACTATATAGCAGCTTTCCATATTTGGAGTGATATTTAATAAGCTGACCACAAATTTTCGATTTGATTTCGATTTACAACTGTCCGACTGGATTCCACTTCAGCTTTAATCAATCTATACTTAAGACACAATCACTAACTAATGTGCAATAAAACCTGATCCACTGTAGAAACAACAACATGCACAACACTAACTTTAACATAATTGTTTAAGTTACCATTACATGATGAAAATAAGATAAGGGAAAACAATATATAGTAACAAGTTTGATTATTTTTCTGGTACTAAGCCGTGGAAATACAAAAATATTTAATCCATAACTTTTAATCTGTACTTCTTGTACCTCCCCAGAAACAAATAAATTATACCTGCAGACTTTTAGCAACTTTCAGTTGCTTCAGTGTTACCCACGATGTTTGAAAAAACGAATAATTAACAAAATTCTCATTACTGATAGGTGGTCACATCCAATAATATCCATGTTCTCTTTATGTTGTTTGTTTTTATTTCATATTATTTATTTTGCTTTTATATAACATTAGTTTGCACCACTGTGAGCAGTGTACTAAAAATGAGTGGTGTGAGAATAAAACCGTACTAGACTTAACTTGCTTGCATTACCATGCTTGGAGTACTCCATTACCATTACTGACAATGTCTCAAGAAGATGGGAGAGGTGCAATACTACTGCAACCCTCCAACAGGTGAGAGAGAAAGTCTCACCACCTATATGATAAAAATAAAATTCAGCAAAAATGGGGGGAAATAATTAATTAATAAGGTCGATCTTGGGATTTTGTGAATCAATATCGATTTGTCAAAATTTGGATCACTATTAATCATAAGATCGATATATTTTTCCCCACTCCTATACAGGAATCAGCTAGAGGAAACCGTTCCGGACACACATATACTACAGGTGTCACGCCCGGCTCGTCCGATCCTCATGTGTGCCACGCCCACCTCGTTACCTCGTGTTACTTCCTGATTGGGATCACCTGTTGCTTGTTCAGTTCAACCTGTCTTGAGTATTTAGTCTCAGTCAGTATTCCACAGTTCTGTCATTGTATTGTCATGTTTGATGTTCGATGTCTGCCCCGATCCCTTAATAAACCCCGTTTGTGCGTATTACCGGCTCTACTCGCCTGCTTCCCCGCTCGCCTGCCTGCACGCACGTGACAACAGGATTCAGTATTAATATTAATAAGATTAAAATATTAATGAGAGGCATATTGTGATGTCCAAATCTTAGCAATCTGTGTAAATTCGGTGTATCCTAATGTTTAATAAACATGTTGGACTTTCAACTGCAAAAAGTACCAACAGTGGAGTTTCTCGCTATCGAAAAGATAAGTTAATTCGAGTTAAGTCGAGTTTACCTGGGGCTTGACTTTTTTTTTTTAATAGGAAGATTGAGATTAGGGCAAAAATACTCAGGGCTAGAGTTAAAATACACTGGGCTGTAGCCCTGACAGATCAGACCTAACGACGTCCATGAGCACCGCCACACCGCCACACCGCCACTTCTTACCTCGTTTATCCACAATGTCTCCTCTTTCAAAAGATACTGTGGCTGCTGAGCTGTCCCTTTCTCCACCACCACTTCAGTGCTTATCGCTTCCATGATTTACCAAAACAGTAGCATGTGGTATGCTCCGCTAACCAAATTTAATAAACATAAGGATATGCCGAATTTATACAAATTATTAACTTTTACATGTCACAACATGCCTCTGATTAATATTTTAGGCGTACTGCTAATCTTCTTACTAAACTGTGGGCGTAAGTAAATGTCCATATAGCAATTGAAAAGCTGACGTCCAGATAAATGTTTACGCCTATTATCTAAAGCCCCGGTGATTATCGCACATGCGGCATATAATCGCGATATGGCATCGTCCAGCCCTAGCTCTGCATTGGTTGATATTCTCCATTTGCCGCAGGGATTTCCCCAGTTCCCCAGGGATTGCCCCAAATGAGTTTGATGGGCCGAATAGCCCCCTCTCGTTTGTAAATTTCTTATGTTCAAAGTAAAGTTACAGGCCGTTAGTGTCCCTAAAGTGGCCATAGTGTCTCATTGTATATGCTGTATTTGCCCCGACCGGGGTGTGCCCCAGACCCGTCCCATATACTGCCTTGAACAGGCTCCAGCCAAACCCCCTCCTTTCCCTATCCCCACCCGCCATGGCCCGGATCACAATAAGTGGTTGGTTAGATGGATCGTTTTCAGTAAGAAGTTCTTTTTGTGCATTTGCTGTGAAAAACGGGTTGTTCAGCATACTAATGTCTGCTGAGCCAGAATTCATTTTGGCTCTGACAACGGGAGCCTGACAGCACAGGCTCGTATGAGTGGTGGGGGTGGGGGGCGTTACCGCAGCTGGCTGGGGAGAGCTCGTCGCTGCCATCCGGACAATCGCGCTCCCCGTCGCAGAGCCAGCGCTGCGGCACACAGGCATAGGACCCGGGGCAGCTGAACAAGCCAGGGCCGCAGGTGGCAGAACCTGGAAAACACAGAAACATGCTGAGAGACCGAAAAGCACAACGAGGGATGTGTGGGATTGTTCACGGCGGCTCACAAGGGCCAAAAAGTACCATGAGCGACAAATGAGAGTCATTGACAGCAGCTCAAGAGGACATGGTGGCTCACGGGGACCAAAAAGCATGTCGACAGATACGTTGAAGTCACCGACTTGGGCTAACAAGGACCCAAAGCACGAGGGTTGCATGAGAGTCATTCACAGAATCTCATGGGGACAAAAAAAGCACGATGCTAGCAGTAACGGGGATGTGTGGGAGTCATTCACAGCAGCACATGGGGACACCGCCTCGCTCAGGAGCCAGATCTGCAAATTGGGCCTCAAAATATAAACACACATCTTCCTTTTTAGAAGTCTGCTGTGTAAACAGAGACAGAAGGTGGGAGCTTCCTCGAATGACAGCGTGAGAAGTCAAAAGCTGCCCAACTGTGTGGGAGTGTTTGCATTCTATATGAATCAGCACAATTCTTAGATCGTAATAAGACTTAATGGAAACCTTCCATTAGTCTGGACAAATCAATACTGATTGTCCGAAAACGTATTCATAAAAAGTGAGCCACTGGCCTGTCAGTGTAGGGTTTTACTCTATATATTTATTCCTATTATTATTTTTACAATACACAAACAAACAGCTGAAATATTCCACCCACAGCAGACAGCATGAAAAATGCTTCTCGCAATTAGGCAAATTACTGCACATCATTTTCAGAGCAAGCTGGACTGTCTCAAACCTTAATGTGTTTGTTCCTACATGACCAGATAATACCTCCGTTAATGATCTACTGGAGCCCAACCTTTAATGTAGGAAACGTTCCCGTCAATTTGTCACCAGAAAACGACCAGCCATAAATCTTCCTCGGCAATGTCCCCATTCATTGGGAAGCCATTTAATGAATTATTCTGCCTTTTTGATGCGTTTAATGTGTTTCATCCCGATGGCCGAGGCAGGAGCATAAATAGTCATGCTGTCATAACCACAAAGACACCCAACGCGCCATCCCCAAAAGCGCTAGTGTGTGAAGAACGTGTCTGACGCTGCTGGATCCACGGGCGTCCTCACCGCAGATGTCCACGCTCTCGTCCAGGCCATTGCCACAGTCGTCGTCGCCATCGCAGAGCCACTGCCTGGCGATGCACTTATCTTTGGAGCACGCAAACTGATTCCACGAGCAGGAGGAATCTATGAAAGAACTGAGCTTTAATGAGAGGTGAGTCCATCTTGAGCAAACTCTTTTTGACTACCACTGACAAGCCAAGGACCAAGTAATGAAATAAAACTAAGCTTTATTTGCCATAAAACATAATGAAAACCTTCCATGAGTGTGTGCAAATCAATGCCGATTGTCTGAAAATGTATTCATGAAAAGTGACCCATTAGCTTGTCAGTCAGGTGGTTTATTCTATATATTTATTCCTGCTACTATTATTTTTAAAAATACACAAACAAACAATACACAAATGAGCAAAGCCTTTCCCACTCCTGCTGACACTCTACTGACAATCCAAGAACAAATAAATGAAATAAAAAGAAGCTTTATTGGCCATTAGTATGAGTACAGGTACACTGTGAAGTGTTCATTTTCACGTATTCCATCATGCTGCCTGATATTAAGACACAGGCAGGCTCACACATGTATACCGATGAACCAAAATATTATCACCACAAGGGGTGAAGATCTGAGTGATGGTAATTAGCATTGGCCAGATGACTGGGTCAGACCATCTTCTAAACAGTAAGGCTTGGGTGCTCACTGTCAGGTGTGGTGAGTACGTACTGAGACGCAGTCCTGTGTGGTACAAACCAACAAAAGCGCTACAGAAATTGTAGACAGTTTTAATGATGGCTACGGGAGTACTGAGCCACGGCACACTAGGAATCGAGCGCTGCTGCATACTGCGTTTGATGGTCCAACACATACCCGGCCATCCACATGATGCAACAGAAAATGGGATTCATTCGAACCAGGCGACCTTCCTACATTGCTCCAAGGTCCATTTCCATGGGTGAGCATAGACATCTGATTGGCCTCTGGCTACGCAGCCCTACACGCAGCCGGGCTTGATGCACTGTGTGTTGTGACACAGTACACATCATCAAAATTATCTGCTATTTGTGCCACAATAGCCCTTCTGTTGGACTGTACCAGACAGGGCAGCCTCACTCAGAACATTATCCCTGTATATTTCTTCTGCATTCAACATGTTGACTACAAGTACAGAATGTTAACTTACCGTCTCATATATCCCAGACATGCACCATTTTTCCAAGATAGTTAACATTATTCCCCTCACCGGGGGTGGTCATACTGCTTTGGCTCATACAGGTGACAGCAAAGCTTGGCGTCAGAGTAAAAGGAGAGTCATTAATCCGGCGCCCTGAGAGCATCTTTCAGGTGGTTATGGGCCTTGCTCATGGGTCAGGCAGAGATGTGGCTGTTCTGCGGAGGACCCTCCAAGCATAAGCAAAAACAATGCCTGCGGGTATTTTCTTTTTTCTTAGAACTTCCCAATGATACTGCCGATGACACTGCACTTTTGTTCCTGGACCTGGCCACAGCGGTCCGTTAACCACCCTATGGCCAAGGACGAGACCGAGTGAGTCTCAGAACGACACGTCAGCAAAGCCAAGCTGGGGGTTCAGGAAGCAGGACGCACCGAGGTCAGTACAATAGACTGCCTGCACTGTTTTTGCACAGATTCTGTTTCACTCCTGCAATATGTACAGATAAATCTGATCCACTTTGTAACATTCTTAATGCCCACTAAATACAATTGGACATACAATATAACATTTACATTGTCATATACTATTCACTATTTTTGCACTACAAATAATGTTGCAATTGTATATACCTGCTCTTAACTGTTAATATTTTCTTTACTACCTATTTATATTATTTCATGCATTTTCATGTATGCTCTTTCCTTACTGCAATAGTTTTTTTGTCCTCTTTACAGTATATCTGTGTACCTGCTGCTGGACCAAACAAATTTCCCCCACAAGGACATAGGTTAAGTCAAGTCTAAGTCTATAAGCAATGTTATTTCATTTGGGCCACACAGCACCTTGGACCGGCCCGGCCCTCTTTCTTTGCTATGTCGGCTCATGTGAGAGTCTGCAGATTCTCCTAGGGTCCGGTAAACTCACTACTCATTATTGCTTAAATTGCACACAAGCAGCAGCGATACCCCAAAGCCTGAAAACAGCCCCCATTAATTTCAAATCTCATTGCTCCCCCGTCACTGACAGCCGACAATGACAGAATCTGCGAAGCTATTCCCTCCCTTATAAGGCTTCTGATCTGAAGGAAGGAACCTTTAACATGTCGGAAAGGAGGAGGAGGAAGAAGGAGGACCAGGGAAGAAGAAGCATGAAGAGGGAGAAAAAAGAGGAAGAGTGATAAGAGGAGGAGAGAGGAAGAAAGGGGAAGGAGGAGGAAGAGAAAAAAGGTAGGGGAAAGAAGAGAGAGGAAGAGAAGGGGACAGGGAGGAAAAAAAAAAGACATGAGAGGAGAAGATAGGAAGAAGGAGGTAGGGAAAGAAGGTAGAAGAGAGAGGAAGACGGGGAGAGAGCAAGTGAGGGGGAAGTGGGAGGAGGAGAGAATAGAAAGGAAGAAGATGGAAGGAAGAGGAAGGAAGAGGGGGAAGAGACACGTGTCACTCAGCCCATCCTCAGAGAAAACGGATACCACCTAAATAATGCAAGGGAACCAATTAGTATGAAAATGGCTTCTTTTCAGAGGCACACAAACTGCTATTTTCTGTCAAATTTCTTTTGTAAATGATCCCAGGAAAGCTGTTTATTCTCAGTCATTCAAATCAAACCCGTCTGACAGCCAAGTCTAATTTGCCACGCAGATGATTTAACAATGCCTCCCCTGGAATGCTGTTCTTCTGCGGTACGCATTTCAAATCGAGGGAGGAATTACGAGGCCCGGGTATCGTAATAGGGGATCGTATATCGCACAATCAGTTTTGACATTTTCTTCCGGGTCTAGAAGAGTGCATGACATTTCCACACGGAATCTTTTTCACATTTTTATTCATTGCCAGTTATTTCCTAATAACAAGAGACTTTTTTATATGATAATTAACTCTGAGGTATCGAAGACCTCATACAAATTTGTCCTTTGGAAAGAATGCGTTCCAAAAATCTAATGAAACTGCATGATCCTGCTTGAAAATGGTAAAGGTATTCCATTCAAGCTCTGAATGGCCACATTCATAAGCCTCTATATCTGGCCATTGTTGCTGATGCATAATGGCAGCAAGGGAGGGCCTGATGTAGTCATTAACTTCTGATGAATAACGCAGCCTATACTGAAATTAATATTCAAGTGTCGCTTTTATTATTCAACGTCTCACTCTCCTTAAATCAGTTCTAGGTTCTTCCTTTTGTCTTCCCATTTACATCACAGTTATGATTATGACTATCATTCTGCTATTCACAGAAAGTTAACGCGTAACAGAACTCCTAACAGCACCCCAGGGAGGGGCATGCTCCGTCATACTCTGATAGTATACTTCATACTCTGATATTATATTCTGTAATTAACCTATTAGTAAAATTCCTACTTGCAAATAAGGCCCATGTTGCTTCAGAAAAAAAAGAGCCAGCCCTCAGCCCTGGCTTTACAGCATCCTGAGAAAAACATTGAAAATTGCTGGATCGAGAACAGCGTACAACCGGTGCATAATTCTGTGCAGGAGGTCAGCCCCGGACCTCTGGCACCTCTCACAGCCTGCTCAAACCCTGCACTCTATATAATTAAACTTAAAATGAGTTTGAGTTAAACTTCGGATGTAAATCGAACTAAACAAATGTATATTTATAAAATCGTTTGTGTTGTATGATTTTATTTGACATTTGCCTTAATCACTATGTGTCACCAGCACACGTCGCTTATCTGAAGGGGAAAACCTCAGCACTCGCGCTCAGAAAAATCCACTTTTTGGTCACTAAAAAAAGACAAAGTGATATGATATTTGGCAAAGCAACAAAATCAAACCTCAAGCAGAGCAAAAATGAACCAGAAGACCTCGATTAGAACAAGCAGAGACAGAGAGGAGAGAAGCAGTATGTGTGGATGCTAATGGTAGATGTGCAATGTAGATGAATGGTTTGATATAACTAACAGGTGTCGACAGAAAATACTGCATTGTTACGTGTTTAAGTAATTAATACCGAATCATCGTTGTTAAAGGCCAATTTGTGTGTATGACGTCTTCATGGTCTTTATGAGCTCTGGCAAATTAAGCACTGCATACAACTACCTGTTGACCTAGTTTGGAGGTTACTTTGTATAAAAAAAAAAATTAAGAAACTGAAAAGTACGTACAGCCAGACTGTAGGTATAGCATTCCAGTGAGAATCCCAAATGGATGTACGTGCAGATGGAAAAGGACCAGGAGAATCTGTGTTTATCTTTATATCAAGAGCATATCCTACATACCACGCTTTACTGAGAATCTCCTAGAAGACTCCTAGCTCGTGACTAGTTTTGGGTTGAGAAGACTCGGCTGTAATAGTGACAGGCAAGGCCATCCATCCTAATTTTTCTCCCCACATGAGAAATTAGGAGTTAAACACTTTAGAAGATGCTGGTCAATTCCAGGAGCTCTGAGGGAAATAAAAAGCACTTCCAACCCCTTGCCCCCAGCTGGCTTCTTACCACACTGGAACTCATCAGCTCCATCCTCACAGTCCCTCTGCCCATCGCACAGCCACACGCTGGAGATGCAGTTTCCGCTGGGACAGGCGAAGTGGCCGTCGTCGCACTGCTGTTCCCGGGAAACTGTAGGGAGACACAAGGAGAGCACGCTGAGATTTGGGCGGACACACTGAGAGGGGCTTATCTTTGGAAACGGGAGACCCTTAGCAGAAAGGAATGCAGCTAGGAAGAGCCGGACAACTTGGGTACACACCGCTTTGACAATCAAATAGAGCCATCTCCCCTCCTCTCAAACACCCCGCAAGCACATGGGGTCTTAATACCACCATCTCAACACACTGGAGCCATCACGGCCCCCACAATGGCCTCCTCTCGGCAAGGAACAGAAGCTTAGTCAAGTGGACACATCTGCCACCACAGACGGGGAATTAGTGGGACTCAGCCTTTCTGCTGATCCGTCAATCCCCTCTCTGGGACATAAATACTCTGCTGGACCAGCATTCGCATTGCTTGGGAGACAGACAGTACATCTAAAGTTCCCTTGGATTGGGGCCCTCAAAAACCTCCTTTGGATTGGGACACTTAGCAAAGTTCCCTTAGATTGGGGCACTCAGCAAACTTCCCTTGGACTGGGACACTTAGCAAAGTTCCCTTAGATTGGGGCACTCAGCAAACCTACCTTGGATTTTGGCACTGAGCAATGTTCCACTGGGTTTACGCACTTACAGTAGCAAAGTTCCATTGGATTGGGACACTCAGCTAGGAGCCTCTAGGCCTTAGCCAGTGCAATGAGGGCAGGGGCCCAGTGATAGCATGAAGGTCACCGTCATCTCAGAAGCACTGGGACTCATCCAGCGGCCACAGAAGTGTATTCAAGGCTCTTTAACCCCCCCCGTGAAATTCTCTTTTTAAAGCCAACATGCTCTTGCTGGGAGGGGAAAAACGATGGCAGAAGGATCACCCTGGCAGCCTGTCTCGTCCGCGTAGTCTCCACAGTCATTGGCCCCGTCGCAAATCCAGGACGGGTGGATGCAGAGGGAGGTGGAGTTGCAGCGGACGAATCCTCTTTCTTTCACCCCGAGCTTGTAGTAATCCGCACAGTCCGTGCTATCTGGGGAGCCAAGAGGTGGAGGTTAATGACACATGTGTCCCCCATAGGAAGTGCCCCAGCGACAGAGAGCTGGTGGGGGGGGGCGGGGGGGGGGGTGTCTTACTGCAGTTCTTCTCGTCAGAGGCATCAGGGCAGTCGATCATCTGGTTGCACCAGGCTGCATACGGGACACACGCTCCGTCCCGGCAGCGGATTTCCGAGGACGAGCATGTCGAGTCTGGGGAGATGAACAGGAACATCGTGGACAAGGCCGATTCATCGCTAGCGGCCACGAAATGAGGCCAGGGAAGGGACGGGCTCGGCTTAATCTCGCATGGCTCTTAATCTTTCCATTTAAATGCATATAATTCAGCGTCTTAAAAGCAGTCAATATAGTACCATACTGCCATTTAAAAAAATAATGAACAAATGAAGAAAATTAAAACAAAAAAATGCAGGCAGTTGGAAACATTACAATGTCTCTTGTAAAAGTCCTAACCCTGATATTTCATGATTTATTGATTTATTTATCCATAATCAGAGAATAATATTTGTAATAGTTTCACGTTCCAGATTAAGCTCTGTCTTGTGCAGAAATTTTGTGGCACCCTTTGTTAGCCAGGAAGAGATCAAAAAATGACAAAATTAATGGATGACAGCATATAATAATTGCATATGACTGAAAAAAATCTTTAAAAAAACCTCATTTAATGCATATAATATCTATTCCTTACATGTACATGCATACTGTACATATGGATATAATTCGAATATAGCTTATTACTATTATTTGGTGTAATACACTATATATCTATGAGTGCTGAATTTTAGGTCATGGTTCAGCAACATTACGTAGCATCAAACAGTCTGGGGTCACAGTCAGAGGGCAGCAGTCAGCAGCACTGACCAGGGGCCCACCCGCCTTCAGGTTCACAGTCCGGACTGAGAAATGCATGCGCAACACAAGCAGGCACCTTGCTGGATGCCAAACATCCAAGACACGACTATTTGTTAACACGCCATAGTAACCCCAGCAAGGGAGATTAATGTGAGCCTGTCATCCTGTGATTTATTCTTCCATATGTAGACGAAAAGGTTGTCATACTTGGGCACCCACAAATAAATGGTTATAGTCAGACTGACATGTTCATTCTCATTTCTGGCCCCCTGCCATGCCCTAAGATTTTAGCCACAATGTTGGTGACCCAACCTACAGCACAGAGGTGTCAAGTTTACTGGTTCTTCGTCTGCTGTGATCAGAAACAAGTATGGTTCCTTAGCTATCACGCCATCTACTGGCCAAACTCACTGGCTGGGGTTTTCTACTGCTGTGGCTTTCAAAAATAAAAGGCTGGACCCTGGACCTGGATGCCCAGAAAAGAGCCCCAACGGCACCCTTAACCACACAAGGGAACTTACTGCCGCAATAAGCCTCATCAGAATTATCTCCGCAGTCGTCCATGCCGTCACAGAAGCGACTGTTGACGATGCATCGCTGGTTGTAGCAGGACCGAAAGCCCTTCCTGCAGCTCCTGTTATCTGCCAGGGGAAGTGTATGACAGTCTTACACACACACACAGAAACACAACAGAGCGAAACACTTATGTCACAGCAAGCTGCCATGGGAAAAGTCAGTGAGACCTCGTGTGGACGGCGCCCTCACCGCAATACTGCATCTTCTCGTCCGATTTGTCTTTGCAGTGAGCCACTCCGTCGCATGTTAATTGGTAGTCAACGCACTCGCCATTCCCGCACTCAAACTCAGTGTGTATGTTGCAGGATGAGTTCTGGGCTGCGAGATGGAGAAGCAGATTAGACAGCATTACTGCTGCCCCCCCCAGAGAGCTCCGTTTTCACTGATGTTCCCTTGGCCAGTTCTACCCTGCGCATTCTNAGCTAGATAAGTAAATTTAAAGAAACCAACAATATGTTGTGGCTTTTTTTGAACTGTGCCTTTATGTTCTTGTCTTCCGGTAGGATTCAGGCGCATTGAAAGAGGTAAATATGGTGCATCGCATTTTAAATAATTGTATTTGTGAATTCTGGCCACTCAGGTTTGATAAATATCGTGGCAACGGTAAATTGCGTAAAGAGTCTGGCTCTGGTTAGGAATTCATTAAACAGTAACTGGAAAAAATGTTAATGGTTAATCCCAAAATATACAGTAATGTCAATACTGATGCTCAGCATAGTTATTTAGAGTACATAGAAGATCACATGATTACAGGTGCAATGCCTGTAGCCTTTTTTTATGTAAATAAGATGTATGTGATTTAATTATAAAATGTCCTTTGCTTTACAAAACAAGTGAGTCATTGTGCCATGTGTGTTGTCCACAGTTGTACGCGACGGCCAATAATTATCACCTTCTCCACAGTCTGGCTCTGCTGGGGGCGGCTCAGTGCAGGAAACCCCTCCTGGTAGGTGGGGTGTTCTAGGATCCAAGAATGCTGAATCCGTGAATCATACGCTTTATGCATAACACCGCTGTGTTTCCGGGTTTGTGTGCTGCTGGGATCAGTGGGATGCTTTTGCGAAGGATTAGCTTTGGTTGTGATATTACCTGCTTTTAATTCGCTGTACATTGTGTTTGTGCTCTTAAAGGAGCTTCTGCTTAAGTTTTGCTCATGCCTATAAACTAAACCCAGTAATGCAATTAGGAGCTTCAGAAAGTGTGAATTAGCTGATGACTGCCCTGCTGTGCCCTGAAGCTTTAACTTGTGTTCTGTTGAGCACTTGTATGGGCTCCATTTGACCCTGTTTTCACTGTGATATGTGCAGGCTGGAGGCCTCCTAACTGCCGGGATGGGGCTCTTCTGTGGGGCCCTGTATCACCAGGCTGTAACGGGTGACCCTCGCCTGAGGAAACTGGCCCCCATCGGAGGCACGCTTCTAATCGCAGGCTGGGCGGCCATCGCACTGTGAATGCTGACCTCTGAGCTCACAAGCATCGGCCTGCCTCTCTTTCTCTCTCTCTCACTCCCTCTCTTTCGTTCTCCCCCCCACCCTGATCTGAAGATTATTGTATTCACTGCCACAACGCTGGCAGCAAACCAATAGCCCCCCCGGCCCCCGTACCAGGTGAAGAGCGTAAGGTGCTGCTAAACCCGGCGAGGCGACGGAAATTATCACCCAAATGCCTCACTGCTCTCTCCCTTCCTGACAAACGCGGTGATGTCACACATTGTGGGTAAGGGGGGAGGGGGGGTCTCGTGAAATCATGTCCACGTGTCACATGGAGAAGACGGGAAGCTCAACAAGTGACACCTTTGCAGTTTTGAATCACCTCACAGGAAATGGCCACAGGGCCGGAATGACTGCACTGCGAGCGGCGCTCAGGTCGCCATCACGGCGCAGCAGAGGCGACGGCCGACTTACACACGCATCGGTTGTCTTCCAGTAAAACGCGCTCTCCCCTGCAGCTGCAATTTACTGAGCCGTCTGCCGTCAGAAGGCAAAGGTCACCACATCCCCCGTTTTCCACTCTACACAAGGACATTTCACCTGTGAAAGGGAGAGCACACAGTGCAACTGGAATGCAACACAAATTCAACATTCCTCATGACAAAAAAAGCACAAACACATAAAGAAACATTTTTGTTTTTCTTCCCTGAAACTACTTTCTCGATCATGGAAAGTTCCAGCAAAATGAGTTTTAAGCCATGTGAAGGACATAGCTGCACCACCCACTGTGATGTTTCTGCACAAGCCCAGAATTACACGTTTTTGCCGGAAGGAACTGACAAAACACTAATTTCTCTAAGGGCCAGACTCCATGTCAGGGCTTTGAAAAATGAGCCTTGCACAGTCCGTATAAACACACTACGACACACACCCACAGTCGCACACATACATAGGCACGTGTGGCCATGTTTGCATATGGGCAACAAACATGCAAAAACACACATACACGCACAGAGACACACAGACATGCACAGAGACACACAGACATGCACAGAGACACACAGACATGCACAGAGACACACAGACACTCACAGAGACACACAGACACGCACAGCGACACACAGACACGCACACACATCATGGCCTAGTCAGGCTCCTGATGTAAAAATCAGTGTTTCCCTACATTTCAAGGGCGAGTGCAGCATCCTAGTGAGAATTACACAGGAACCTCGGGCTGGGCATGGTGCCGGAGGTCCTGGGGCACGCTGAGCCAGCAAACGGCCCCCCCTCCCTATGTGCGCCCTGCTCTGCACTACGGCTGCATAATTCCTTTTTAAAAGGTTGGAATTTTTGTAATATATGTATCAATCAAAGAAATCTGAATAGGAATTATACAATTTTAACGGGTGTAGTTCATCAGCATGCAGTAGCCTAAGCCCCTCGGATGCACCTGACAGCAGAAAACTGTAACATTAGCCTGCTCCGGTCTTAATGAGGAAAGTGACGAGTAGACAATAATGCGGAACAACATTTTTATTTATTTAGACAGAAATGCCAGCAGCAACAACAAAAAAAGGTCTAAATTGTGGCTGGAAAATAAAATATGAAACTATTTGCATGAGACAGCTAACATAGGCTACTGTGCATAAAATAGCTTAAAATTTAAATAAACGACATCATGCAATCAGATTCTGCCTTTGGTTTCAGCTATGTCTAACTAGGTTTGGAGGGCACCGAATTGTTCATACTGTCCAGTAATTATACCATGGTACACATTTGTCTGATGTGATTTTCAAAAGCAAGGTGGTTCCAGTATTCTGAAATCTTGGCAATGAAATCTGCAGAGTTGGGGGGCGGGGTCAGGAAAAAATGGCAGGTTAAATCCAATTACAGTTACCAGACGGCGCTTTTCATTTTTTTTTTTTTTTTTTTGTGAATCACACATTATTTCAGTAGTTTCTTGCTGGGTTTCATCCAGCAATGAGCAACGGATGTCTGATCCTACTGGCAAATCTCTTATTCTACGGTAAGCGACAAGGGCCATTAGGCAAAAGAAAAATGAGGAAATGCATGTGAGATGACTAATAGCAGCCCACATAAATCCGCAAAAATTCAAACCATTTTTGCCATCAAATATGTTAATATTTTTGAAATTCAAATTATATTTGAATAACAAAGCTCATCCTCCCAGGCCTACTCTGCCCCGCAAAGCATCGCAAGTCACGGCCATGAGGAAGCCCGTTACGCCTCTCTATCTGTCCCATTTAGCCGCCACACCACGTACTGTAAGCTCAGGGCAGTTCAGAGCATCCCGAGTGCCCATATGTCTTTGCTGTACATTCCGAGTAATTTGCAAAAACAGACGCATACATCACATTTCACTTTAATGAACGTGTGGGGAAGGAGCCACGGCTTCTCTCTGCCGCTTCGTGGATGTGGCTGCGGCCTCCCGGACGGTAAAAGCACAGCTTGGAAGTTTAACATCTTTTTAATCTGGTGCTGCCTAAGTGTTTTCTCTTTTAGTGTAGCGATGGAGTTCCAGCAGGAGACACTGATAATGAGCTATTCCTGAAGATAAACATAAGACTCAAGCTGCCACGTAAGGAAATAATGAAGTGAACAAATGAAAATGACAGAAATTCTCCTCTTTTTAAACACAGCACTGATCTGAATATGAAACTCTTTAAGTAAAAACAAAAAATACCAACCTAACGATTACAGTCCATTTGTATCTATTCACGGCTTGTTCTTGGTGTGCTGCCCATCAATGCCTTCGTATAAGACCAAAGATGTCCAAATTATACTGAATACAAGTAGGACAAAACTCCCTTTCAGATGCATGCCATACTGCCTGTACTGTCGGCTTACCTATGTACCTGCCTGTCACCAGTAATGAGAGGTGATTGGTGGATGAGTGTCACATGAGGCCCTGACAGGCCATTCCACTAGCCCAAAAAACCCAGCGCGGCTCAGATGTGTTAACCCCGCCTCCCGCTTCCCAGCGCGACAGGGCGAGGGGCTCTGGGGGCATCTTGCGTCACTGAAGATCAAGCATTCCATTCGAGACACGTGACAAGAACGGCAGGATGTCTCTTACTTCACAAGCCTCTCGAAGCAAAAGAGGTTAACCTGATATGGACACATTTGCCCAAGAACGATCCAGTGTGTAGGAACACCCCAGAGAACCACAGCGCAAGAGCTGATCTCCTTGAGTTATGTGGAACAAATCCGGCGAGGACAGACATACCAACAAGGAACGGGCACAAAGTGTTCAAACGTGTCAGGTCCGCTGTCCTACTTCTCCAGCTCTTTCTCTAAGAGTTTTTTTCTTAATTACAAAACCAAAAATTAATTCTTGCTAAATAAATCGGGCACTCCAGAGTTATCCATTTAGCACTGTTACTGCTCCTAGAATGCACAAATTACTAAACCATGCCGACACTATGTTATAACTAAGCTGAGTAATAAATAATGCATAACGGGATTTATCTGTGTTGTCGATTTATCAAGAAGGCCAAGACATCACTGCAATACGAAAGGAAATGAAAACAATTACCATTTATATTTAGAAAACACAACACTAATAAACAGGTATACACACACACACACACACACAGATATGCATACAGAGTGGCATTTTAAGAGGCAGCACAGAGATGAATTTATGAGGCAGGGTTCATGGGTACTCACAGTTGTTGGTATCCGGGGCAACGGCGACTATTCCCATTGGCTGGTGCGGAATGTCGGCTCGAAGCACTTTCATTTCATCACCTGTATACTTATTGGAGCGGAGCACGGATCTTCGCACCCAATCTGACCAAAAGATGAAGTCGCCATAAATAGCCAGGCCGAAAAATGTTCCCGGCCCTGACTTCACAATGACCTATGATTTGAATGGAGTAAAAAATCTGTTAAAATGATGACTGTGGAAGGAAGCTGAAGCATCATTCAATCCAGACACACTTGCACAAAAAAAAATAAAATCAAATGAAATTAACTTAAATTAAATTAAATTAAAAAAACAAATCTCTAGCAGAAGTCTGAGGTGCTGGCTTCCTTACAGCCCAAATAAGCACATATTTTCTCATCACTGAAAATGAACAGAGATATTACACAGGAGGTGCAGTTAATGTTTAATGTCATATTCCAGCAACATTAACAAGCTTAGTCATAAAAATCCAAGTAATGCACAATTAAAGACATTCATTGTGAATATGTAGATCTGTAAAGAAAAATTAAAGAAAAGAAAAAGATGGAATCTGTTTGTTATGTTCCGTATCACAAACCATAAAACTAATGTCAGTGTTCACGGATGATTATGTCATTCTCTGTCACCAGTGCAGAGTGGGGGGGTGGCGGGTACTCCCAGACATGAAGCATCCGCTGAACACACTACAATACACACACTACAGTTTTGTCACCCGGAGAATATTACCACAACGCAATGAGTGTGTTAAGTGATCATTTAAAAGACACCAATAAACAGGTAACCACGAGTAACTGTTTTGCTTCATCTTGGAGGAGGAAAAGCCACACTTATTATATTTCACGTCTAAAAAACATACTAAAGCGAAATGAATCAATAAACGCATTCTGGCTGATTTTACTTCACATGATGTGCACACTGCCTGCAGGGCTAACCTTGAAAAAAACATTTCAGTCTAGTAATGCACTCAGTTTCTTAAAACCATGTCTCAGAGACTGGCCGTTTATACTCAATTATCACACCGCAGCCTCTTTAAATTCTTGAAATTGGCTTCCTGTTCAAAGCCAGGTCAGCAAACAAACTGAGCAAACTAACAACAGCCACGCACTTGTATAGCCGTTTATTAACAGGGAACAAACTGGCAGGTGGCCCCAGCTCGCAAGAGACACCGGCCTGTTTTGCTTTGGGATTTCATTTCTCCCTGCTGCTTAGCTACAGGAAGCCGAGTCGCATTTCAGAAAAGTTTTACCCATCTACTCTTACGCGTCATTGCAGTTCTGATGACCCCTGAACAGTGCTCATCAGCTGAGCTATAAACCTGAACACCTTCTACCCAGCGGCGCTGTTTAACACCACACAGGCCACACATATGCATGGGTGCATGGATGTTAGATACAAACAGTCACTACACCAAAGAGTAAACGTGTTCTTTATTTAGGAGATGCTGAAGGAGCAAACAATGAGTTTGATCCATAGAGACATTTGATGATGTACCTCTCATATTTTTGACTAATAAGAAATAGTTTGTTGTATTTGCGAGACTAAATCAAGGAATAGTCCTTTTTCAGTGTTTAAGACCTGGGAGAGGGGGGGGCAGGGCCCCCTTGCCGCCTTTCTGCACCCCATTCCCCAGCTCTCTGATCCCTGATGTTTGCTGTAAGATTATACATGACTTTTAAAAACGCGGTGTTTATGCACTCTGGTGCAGAATGTCACAGCGTAGAGAATGCTGTCCAAAAGGATGCGAGGTGGAGTGTCACACAAGTTCAGCTCTTGCCGGAATGTCAAAAGCGTGTCCCTGAATCCCTCGCCATCCCGTTACAGGCATGTAAAGAGATGCCCTGGCCCACTGCAGAGGACACCATGGATGGGATGCCAGTCCTTCACAGGGCACAGGGAAGGGGACATCCTGAATGGGATGCCAGTCCATCACAGGGCAGGGACACCCTGGACAAAATGCCAGTTCATCAGAGGGCACAGGACACCCTTGGTGGGATGCCAGTCCATCACAGGGCACAGGGCTGGGACACCCTGGACAAAATGCCAGTTCATCAGAGGGTACAGGACACCCTTGGTGGGATGCCAGTCCATCACAGGGCACAGGGCTGGGACACCCTGGATTGGATGCCAGTCCATCACAGGGTAGGGGACACCTTGTTTTGCTTCCCGTACCTTTATAGACTCTCTTGAAGGCTCTGCACTTTATCACGGCCCACATTCTCTACTTGAGGTGGGGGGGGGGGCACTCTATCGAGTGCAGTGAGTGACAGCGTCATTAATCACGCCGTGGTCCCGGCTATCCCAGAATGACGCGGCGCACCGGTCGCCTTAACGTCCCGTCGCCACAGTAACGCCGGGCCTGGGCCGCCACCGGTACTCTTATGCTCCCCCCCCTGCCGCCACTTTGTTGATCATCACTAGACCTGTTCACTTCTTATATTCTAACTGGGGGCCGCGGTCAGACGGCTGACTTTTTATGACGTTCCGATGACAGCCCTGGTCGGGAAGAGCCACTCTGCCGCCTCCGGCCTAATTGGGGAGGGAGTAGCCACCAGCTACAGGGGCAGGTCAGGGCAGCTGTGCGTTTCCACACCCAAATGAGGCGAGAAGTTAAATGTGCCTTTCTTTGCATGGCAGGCCGTCTTTGTAGAACAGCGCAGAAGGGCATGTGTGACGCGATTAAACCGCTATATATATACGTCGGTGTGTTCCTCGGTCTTAACATGACCACGGGAGACTTGATAAATGGCGCGTTATAAAAATGCTCAGCACACGTGGTTCAAGGAAGAACTGCTCTTCTGAAACACAGGTGTCTCAATCTGAAATATTACTTTTTGTTCAGGAGGATGTGCATGAAGATGCATCTAAGGTACGTGGCTGAGGAGAAACTGTTAGGCTGGCAGGGACCAAAGAACATGGTTTACCGAAGAGAGGGTATACTCCGGAATGATTCCATCAGACTCACATCTGTCGTTTTCGCCAGTTGTAGGGTAAGAAGGACTAAGGGAACTGGTGTGTTCAATTTAAATACACCCAGCTTCTATTTAGTATGCAACCCAAAAGCAACAAGTAGTTTGACCAAAACATGTGCTTTCAAAATTAAAATGAAAAACAGAAAGGTTTTTACACTGAAATGAAAGTGTAAGGCAGGCCGGGCGAAGCCCATGTGTTGCTCTAGGCATGCTCCCTCCCTCCCCCACCCAATGGCACGGCCCCCCCTGCACCAAGCTCCACCACCGGCATCCCACTCCGGCAAGCTCCCCCCCCAGCCCCAATGGCACGCCCCCCCCCCGCGCCAATTCAGTGCCTCAGAAGATGGTGTCCTGCACGGTCGCCTGTGTCGCATAGGATTGCCCAGCCCTACTCTAAGACCATCTCGTTAACATCTCCGGGTGCCATTAAAACATTCTGCAGTGCTTGTTGGGACTGAAAGGGAACCGAAAAGAGGTCGTACTCACATATCTTTGTGTCCCATCGTATTCACACCTTTCGATTTTGCCAAGGCTCCCGTCAGAAAAGTACAGTTTCTCTGCCTTGTGATCAATGGTGAGTCCATTAGGGGTAATGATGTCCGTGCTAACAATAATCTGCATGCTCTTTCCTGCCAGGGTCGATCTCATGATACTCGGGTGCTGCTCGTTCCAATTAGTCCAGAACATGAGGCTATCGTGTCGAGAGAGAGAAGGGGAGAAGAAGAAACCATTAGCACCCCGACGGCACTGCAGACACAATGAGCTTGGAGTGGCAGCAACACACTGGGCTTTAATGCAGAAGCACATTTACTGTTTGTACTCAATCTTAAAAAGCCATGTTTCACCTTATCTCAGAAAACTAATAAATGACGACTGTGCATCCCAAGTCTTTGTAGCAGCGAGGCAGTTACCGAAGAATCGGGACAGTCTGCCACACATCCACACCTCCTTGAGCTTCAGACATGCATCATTCAGGGGCACCTCCATGCTGTTAAGATCGTTCTCTTAAGGTCACTGATACTCTGCCTGACGACCCTCTCGGAGGCCTTCCACAATCGCATATACATTTACTTATTCAGCAGACGCTTTAGTCCAAAGCGGCATAGGAGTGAGGAAAGCTTGGGGTCAGAGAGCCCCGGGGACAGTGGGCCATGAGGGTCTTCTTCTCAGCAAGCTCCCGGAGATGGACATTTACCCACTGAAGAATACAAGCACATAACTCGGACAACACAGAACATGACTGCATGGCCTTGGACGTCCCTACTTCTTATGAGCCACAAGTATATTACCGAGCTCCACAAGTACAAGCATAGGCTGACAATGAAGGGCAGACTAACATGAGACTTCAGAACCCCTCACCGAGAGGCATCCAGGGCAGGTCTTCTTGCTGGTCTTCAAGAGCAGTTTCATTGCTCTCTTAGAAAAATAAGCATTTCATGGTGTATATCGACAGACAGAAATCATTTCAAGAGGCAGGAAACAGCAAACTAAGGTAATAAACTTCCCTCAATGTGTTTTCAAAAGGTCTGTCAGTGTCACACAAATATCTTTGCTCTCTGGAATTTAGTTTCAGAGATACAAGCACAGAGTTAACAAGGAAAAGGGTGCATTTAGAGGAAAAGGGTGCATTTAGAGGAAAAGGTGCCACTAAAGGTCAGGCAAAACAAAATCATTCAAATATTGATTAAAATTAGGATAAAGCAGATGTATGGAAATAATTGCTTTAAAAGGAGATAATACAGTGGATACATTTCAAGATTATATGAAAAAAGCAAGGCTGTGTTAAACTGGAAAACAGGATTCAAAATCACTGGTGCAAAACAACCAGCATCAAAAGCTACAAACAACCTAAATATCGTCAAATCTTTAGAAAAGAAAGATTTCTAGTTAAAATTATCTGTGTATTAATTGCCACTACATATTTTTTATATAAAATAAGTAGTTGCCAAATACTCATCATACATGCATTACTGCACATACATACGCATACATACTGTACTACTGATAAATATATTCACTGACGTTGCCTAATTTATGACTGCACCAACATTTTTATATTGAGTCAAAAAAAAATTCAGCATTCTTCTACCATACATTTCTGATTCCAGTAAGAAAACCAGTAAAAGGTTTGATATCTGGGGAGCACTGCACAGAGTACTGTACATGTCACTGCCCCATCCATTCACCCTTATCTGATCTGCAGGGACTGAACGGCCTACTTTAGGAAGCATGTGAGATTCTGGACAGAATGCCAGTCCATCATAGGGCACAGGGCAGGGACACCCTGGACGGGATGCCAACATATCACGGGGTACAGGGCAGGGCCACCCTGGACGAGATGCCAACATATCACGGGGTACAGGGCAGGGACACCCTGGACGGGATGCCAGGCCATCAGGGGAAGGGACATAAGGCGGTTAGGGTTAGGGGTTCATATTATGACATGACACCAATTCAGAACCCTCCATTCATTCTGGACACGGAGACATGTCCCACGGACCAGGAACTGCCATAACAGGCCTATTTGGGTTTTAGTACCAGCTGGGAGGTTTGGCAGAACTGAAAACACATTCCCCCCAAAACTGCTCCAGCTGAGCCTTCAGTAAACAGTTCAGGAGGCTCCATTATCAGCCTTATCATATGATGCAGGAATCACATATCGGGGGGGAGTTGGCAAGGGGGAGGCACACATCCGCTGGTTCATCACAAAACTATCTCTGCGCCCTTGCCCATAAAATACGCCATTAATCACACAAATTACACCATATTAACTGGACAAGGGTGTGGTTTGCACACCGCGTTTTATGACACTATTAAAGGGAATAGTAGGTCATCGTTTATGCTCGATAGAGCAGGAGACCACACAGGGAGAATGCCACTTACAGTAAATACACCGTACAGGGGGTACAGGGTAGCATAAGGTATAAGGCAAGGGTACACCCTAGATGGAGATGGGATGCACACCAGGGCCGGACCACGATAAGCTGGTGGTAAATGGAAGATAGATATATAATTCATGGCGCGTGCAATAACTGGGATCCAGGGTTAATGTTCAGTATCTGATGTCAACAGTGTAAATGTACCACAATACAGTGGTACCTCGGTTCTCGAACTTAATCCGTTCCGGACTCTGGACTGAATCCTAAAAAGTTCGAGTTCTGATTGAATTTATCCCATAAGAAATAATGGAAAACCAATTAATTGGTTCCCGTCCCCCCAAAATTACACCTAAATATGTTTTTTCTTGTTTGTTTGTTTTTTAAGCATTTACACACAAAATGAACAGAATAAAACAAGAAGAGCATTTTTTTCTTAATGGCTTCCAAAATGATAACGATCTTATCCCAACATTACCCCTGTCCTGCCCCGATCATCCGCTCCTTCCGTGTGCCACGCCCCCTCGTTAACCTCGTGTGGGATCCCCATGTGATCAGCTATTTCTGGTTGTTGTCATTAGTCCTCTGTATTAAGTCCGCGTTTCAGTTTGTTTCCCCAGTCCGGTCATTGGGTGCGTTCGACTTGCTTACAGCGCTGGCTTAAAGCAACGCATTCTGATCCTGACGCAATGCATTACGGTTAGATGTATTGCGACCTCTCACCCGGCTGCACAAAATGGAACCGCCTCCGTGACGACACACCTTTGCCCTTATTGGCTGAAAAGGTTAGTTACACGCATGATGCGTAATCTGCTATTTCCGATGCGTAATCTGCTATTTCTCCCGAATATCACGTAAAGTAGTGAGAACTGGTTTTCAGTTAATTTACCTGGTAAAATAAAGTTTAAACAAATGACTCTAATAGTACACGTAAGTTAGTGGTTTATTTATTGTTAGTTATTTATTGTAATGTTGCGCTGCTTTATTTGGTTAATTGTCCAGTCTGTGAAGAAGGCATTCAAGTAAGAATTGCATTGTAGTATGACTCATTTCCTGGCGCGTACAATTTATATTAGGTCAGCGTTCACAGTTCGACTTCTGATATTCAGATCGAGTTCTAGGTCAAACTGGTTACACTTATTAACACTGGCCTTTTCTATGCTGTAAGAAGCAACATGAATTTATACAGCATTTTGGTTGCAATACTAAGGCTATTATTATTATTATTACTACAATACTATATAATGCATTTATTATCAATTCATAGAACATTCATAGGCACTATGTAAGTACAGTATACCTTTACACTGTGTCTCAACTGAAGTGAAATAAGCCCCTTAAACAGGAACCCCTAAGTCACATCTGTTACCAGGTCCAGTCATCTCACCCTCCTTTCATTGGCTCAGAGAATTAAGGGCATGCAAAGGGACTAAACAGGAATCCTCCGCTGAGACACGCCGATTAATCATTTCACTTTAATTTCTAATTAACCGACACCTCTTGGAGTCTATTTGAAAACCGGCCAAACTGCTAACTTGGGATATGCACTTAAGGTTGTGAGTTTAATGCGGTCCAGTGACTCCGTTTTTACTGCAGTCAGGGGTCACCAAAACCTCGAAATATTAACTGTATCTGGCGAGGCCTAAATGTGCCATTTAAAATGGATGTCGCAGTGCCGGATCATTAAAGCTGGGCGGCTGAGGAATTAAACCAGCGTCTGTCATTTCATGTTTTCGTTGCCCTGATAGGAAGCGGTCAAACCAATTAGACGATCTTTCGTCTCCGCTACACTACAAGCTGACATTTTCCAAAGCCTCTCCACTCAAGAGGGACAGAGAGAAGTACTGTTGTTTTTGGTTTTAATTCTTTTATTTTCTGCAGTTTTTTGTGGTTCCAAACATCAGAAAGGCAAACCTACTATCATAGACCTGAAAAACTGACCCCAAAGGCAGAATTTGTACAAGCTGTAGGAAAGGATGATATTTTTACAGAACACATGTAAGACACAGTTTTATAAATGTGTTCTCTTTTTTTGACTTTCCCCTTTTACCCTAAAGATATTTCAGCTACGTGATGCATGGGGGAAGCTAATTAATGTGTACTAAAAATTCTGTAATACCTCAGCGCTTCCAAATGGCAATGATTTACCGCATAATTACACAGTGAACTTTACCTCATGCCCGTTCAGACCAAAGGCTTAGATTCAGTGTGATTCTTCAACGCAGCATCTTTACAAACCAGGATTTTGCAAAAAGAAACCAGATTCAGACACCATCTGTGCGCTGGCACATCCTCGGCAGTGCTTACGCACCGAGCTGACACAAACACGGTGACGGACACAGGAAGTGGAAGGCTCTTACTTCTGACACTCATCAAGGACGACAACGTGCGGGTGGTCCTCCTCTGACATCCGGACCACCGCTTCCCTGTTAAAGGCCCCTCGACGGCTCTGGTCGATGGTGTAGCGGGTGATGGTTGAGCTGCTGGAGCTGGTCCAGTACAAGGTATCCCATCCGCGGTGGTAGGCCAGACCCTCGACTGAGCCCACATCTGGGGGGAGCATGAGGGAACAACAGCGTGACCCACAGGAGTGAAAGTGATTACAAGGATATGCATACTTAATGAGGGATTAGTTCAATTTGAGAAGGTGCTGGAATATCACCGCTTTTAATCAGCATGACGCTGCCACAGTAGGGTGACTGATGAAGGTGTAGGTTTCTTTGTTGGAAGCTTTTAGGGTGTGAAAATGACAGATTACACTTATATTAAATTTGCAGAACTGTACTGCAGGAACACTGAAACTGAATGTGCTTTTCAAGTCCTCACTGCAGATAGACAACCCTGCTTTTTTTTTTTATAGACAATGCAATATCAATCCACTTTTTTGCTGTTTAGTATTATGCATACATGTCGTATTCCCCATCATAAAAATAACCTCTAGGTCATGTATATTTTTGCCATTAAAGTAAAATATGCAGCACATCAGACAGGAGATTTTAAAATGAAAGCTGGGCGGAGGTCTTGGAAACATCCGGAATTGAAGCCAGTTGAACAGCTAAAGAAGGTAACAAGGCCAGACAGGTATGAAGGAGTCAAACTGTGCAGGGAGATTAATGGCGGAGCAGTAAGTTTCTAGAGCTGGCAGAGCTCCCACTGTCGCATTTAAGAAGGACAATGGTGCTATTTATTTCTCCAGTCACACGACTTGCAAGCAGCTAATTCCATGTGCCTTGGGGAAGGAATCGCGTTCTCACACAGGCCATAAACTATCCTGAGATGTTTGCCTCCACGAAACAACCAAAGGCTAGTTGAGGCTGAAAAAGCACCATCAAATGCTGCCGGCTATTTTCTTAAAGCCATTGCATTGATTCTTCTTTCCACCTAACATTTCTTGCAGATGTAGTACATCATAGACATAGTGCTAGTAGGTAACAGCATCATATACTGTAGGAGCACTGTGTACCGAATGAATGTTATATAGTGTAGGAACTTTTTTCAGGAACTAGAACTTTTTTCAGAACACCTGCAGGAACTCGGCCCAATTGTAGTTCATTGGAGGCAATTCCAGAAGCCTTTTTTAGTCGCCACTCCAGACTCATTCGAACATGAACTGCTAGGGAGGCGCTTACAGCTTGCTGATTGGTTGACCACAAGCACCGGGGCTAACTTGGACTCCATGGGGGAAAAATGACAGAAGAAGCACAGCAAAAAATGAGCAGAAGGAATTACTGGTCTCCATATTTTAGCATTGGAAAGTTCAACTGATGACCAATATAATTTTGTTTTATATTGCCGGTGCCATCGGTGAAACTCTTTTTAGAAGGATAACATGTCATCACTTTTTATTATGTGGAAAACAAAAGATTGATCCGTCAGCCAAATTTAATAAGAATTATAAATATACAGCAGGTTGTATAAATAAAAACGTAACTTTGTAATGTAAAAATATAAAAATTTGTAATTTTAAAAATATAAATGTGTAGTGCAATATGAAAGTAACACACAAAAGTGGCCAGGAGCTGCAAAAATTCCTGGTTGAGACAGCCCAAGAACTTGTAAACAGGGAACGGGTTCCGTAACTTTGGTGTAAAAGTGCCTATAAACTGTATGAGCGTTATATAGTGTAGCATTACAGGAGTGATAAATACTGTAGGAGCATCATGTACTGTAGGAGTATTGTATAGTGTAGGAGGATTATGGGAGTGTTATATACTGTAGGAGCATCATGTACTGTAGAAGCACTGTAGGAGTGTTATATACCCTAGCTGCTACAGACCAACCCAGTGGAACTCCATCGACGTCATGTAGGGTTTCTGCATCACAACAGCCACACCCCACGATGGATCCAGTCAGGGGAGAACTGCTCCCCCCATACCTTATGATCCTTGGTGATTCATTTTTATGGCTATTTTCCATCCTGGCTGTTGTGAGGGTTCTCTGATCTACCCCTCTGTTTTAGTGCCTGAGACACTCCTGACAGATTCTCAATTTATTAAGAGTCCGACTGCTTTTTCTTGGTGATTGTTTGTCTGTTCTTCCTGATTTCCATCCCAAGATTCTGAGTTTGCCTTGCCCTCTGTTCACTAATCGACTGGCCTTCCTTCGCCTGTCTACTGACCATCACCTCAGCCTGCTGTCTCGGTTTCTGTTTGCTCACTCTGGTTTTGGATTTGGACTGTCGGCATTGATTTTTGCCGTAATAAAGCCTCTGAACATCATTTGTGATCCACTATTGAGTCCCTGTTGTTCTGTGCACCATCTCAGTAGGAACATTATATACTTCAGGAAAGGTTGCACGTTAAAGATGTACTTTGTACAGGGAGAGCATTATAGTAACACCTCATGTGAGATATTCATCACATGGTTTGGGACTGTATGAACAGTATGTTCCATTAAAAAAGAAGAGGGATTCAGAAGACTAAATCTGATGACTTGACAATTGGTTTATAGCTGTCATCAGGCTAAATCTGTGCTTTATTTAATCACTGCATTCCTTGACAATCACACAGCACACAAGTCTTAAAAGTTCCCTTCATATAATAGCAAAAGATTCAGGCTCTGCCTATCATTTTTTTTCTTTGCATTGCAACTAAATAAAACCAATGTGTTTTGTTTTTTGCTTTTTCTATATGAAAACGCTCTGTGCCCCAGAGCATCAGCTCAGACAGGATAACATAATTGACGTCTTATAGTCGATCTAATATTTGATGAGATCAGCAACTGATTAAACATGTACATGATGAGATAGTTGTGGTCAACACAAAAGGTGAGCTGAGGAATAAGACCATTCTGTTGATTTGGCATCACAGTAACTATTATTAAAGAAGAAGAACACAGCTCTAAACAGCTGAAGTTTCATAAATAATCACAAAGCCCGCCTATTGCCCCCGTTGTGGAGATGAATCTGTATGACATCTATGCTCGTCAAGACAAGGGTAAAAGGAAATCAACAGGAAAACATTTAGCTACTCAGGAAGCTTTAAATTAGCTGAGATTTCACTGGTTATTCCCTGCCTTTGCACCCACAGCGCGCAGGATCAGCTCCAGACACCCGCGACCCTGCGTTTCCATAGCCAAGCGCCTATATTAGAAAGCAGAAACAATGACTTAGCGCTTTTCTGCTGCTGAAATGATCCCATTGACTGTTCCATTCTTCTAATAACCTCCCAATCAAAATGATAACTACATCAAGTACTGCATTTTACTTTTACACTTAAGAACAGTTGTAAAACAAAGGCAATGTGTTTGAATAACAAAACATAAAAGATGTTTATTCGCACATATATGTTAAATTTTCATATGCTAAATTAAAAAATCAAAAAATATATCGATCATAATAAACAAAAAACCTGTGTCCTCTACTACCAAGTATGGTCGCATATATGTAGCTATAAACACCCCTATAATTATATTTTTAGCCCAGTCTGAAGTTCCTAGCAAAAGCACCTTAAACGTCGAGGGTAGACTAACTTGCAGAGGCATTTTCTGTCTTGCTCGGATGATCCTCCGAAATACTGTAAGTTATCATGATGGATTTGTTTTCAGAAACATATCAAATTTGGCACAATATTGATAGGTAGTCTTGATCTAAACTACTCTCTCTAGTATTGGTGTAATTTATTGGGAAACCAAAGTGTTCCCAAACAGCTGACTATTACCGACTGTAACCAGTATTAGCCATAAACTCACAACCACAATTAATATGTTTTTCATACTGAACATATACTTGTGAATTTAGGTTCCCCCTGTGTCAAAAAATGTATTAATTCATTTTGAAACTGAGAAACTATGCATCAAATGGTACAGGAAGAATGAGAGTACCATTACAGTCCTAGAACAAACAAATCGTGAACTTTTCTTTTCTTGCTTAGAGGACTGGATGGACAGGACCCCTGCACTCAGTGCACCCTTGCCGGCTGAGTCAGGTGTAACCTACGGTATCCTGTCACCATTAAGCACCGGTCTGTGGGACCCAGACTCCTCTGATGGTAGGTCATGGCCCCACCATTCAATCACAGAAAACTGTGGGGACTGACTGTCAATTAGATGTGTAATTGTTTTATGGTAGCATACAGGTGGCCAGTGGCTATGATACCGTATGGAATGAATCCATTGAATGTAGAACAACAAAAACATCTGTGGGAATACATTTAACTGAATTGTGGGAGCTCATCTCTAATTAATTAATTCCAATAAGAATCCTCTGACAGCTTTGTGCGCTGAAAACCACTTGAGACGTCAGGCAGGAATTTATATAGACCGCACTGCTTAATTAGGAAAATATGGCTAATTATCATTGTTGCCCTTCTTAGCGATCAAGTACAAAATTCTTCAATTACATTCTTTCTCAATGTTTTTTTTCCTTATGACATAAACTTTTCAGAGAGAGCCTTAGGAAGAAAGACAGGAATTGTTTTGTGATTGGCTCTATTTAACTCCACTCCCAGTGACATCTCTCCTGAGTAATTCTGGGTAAAGGTGAGTGACCCCAGAGGAACTACAGTAATTCTCTTCACCTATAGCTTGAGCTGGCATGTAGTTTTACACACATGATGAAACACATTCAAATAATTGTTAAATTACAGTCACGTCTTAATTGCTTTAATTTAACAAACAGAGGGAAATCATCATGTATTATGGACTAAATTAGTGTCATTAATGGTACCTGGTGATTAGGTGAATCAGACAAACAACACTGCAGTCCCAGCAGAAAAAAACAATACTTCATATGTGTAAAGAAATCTAATGGAAGTCTGTCAAGAAAACTTCAAAAAAGGCTCCTGTTCTTTCCAGTTTGACACTGAAATGGCATGGAAATACAGGTCATTAATTATTAAAGTACTGGAACTTTCACTCACCCCTGAAATAGCAAAAGCCCATTAGATATCTGTACTATATACTATAAAATCTGTGCTTGTTTGTTTAATCAACAATAAATAATTATACTGCTTATATCAGCAAATTTGTATTTGTAGTTGTATTATTGAATTACTGTAGTATTGTGTACTGTTTCATTCCATTTCATTTTAATTACTTTGTATGTGTGCATGTGTGTGTGTATTTCACATAAAGGCTTTTTAAGTATTAAATAAAAAATGGCTTAAAATAAGTTTATACATATAGGCTTTTTAAGTATTAAATAAAAAATGTTTAAAATAAGTTTAAAAAGGTCACTGCTTTACATTAGATACCAAGTTAATGATTTGTCACTGCTAAATGACACAACAGAATTTGAAATGTAAAGTAGTCTGAGATGGTACTGAATCCTCTGCCTTCTTCCTCTATCTGCCACGAGCACCCCGGGCCCTTACAGCACCTCCCATAGAGTCCTACAGTCGAGCCCTACATCTGTCAAACATACACCTATCACACATTCCACATATGTCCAGCGTTTCATTGCCGTTGCTTTCGGACAACCTGGCATTATTCTCCACTTGTTCCTGGACCTTGAGCTAAAGTTCTTCACTGTAAAATTCCTTGGCAGCGCACGTCTGACAGGTGCAGGAATTCCCGCTGTGAAAAAAGAATCCGGTCCATTATGTCCACTCGAGATTTCACAGCTAAAGGACCGCTTCCGTTTCCTTGCCTGCCCTGCACCTCCGATGGTAAACACGGATCCAGTAGGCAGTAACACGGTGTTCCCAATTCCGCATTCAGATGCCGTGACAACTCAGTCATCGCGCTTCAGTATTTCGGATGGGCATGATGCGTCATTCATGCCTGCCGCACAATTCTGGCAGCTTTCTCTGTGTTTATTTACGGTCCAAGCCAGCCGGGTACTTTCCATTTCAGCTCCTTGGCCACGTTCAGTGAAGTTAATAAATAATGACCTGAGACACTTACCTAGGTTTTGACAGAAGGAAAACTTTACCAGATGAAATCATTTAGGAATGCTGCATGAGTAAATCTAACCAATAAAGTCAGAATAATTTACTGCACAAACGAAAAAACAGTAATGCGTTCTTGCAAACACTATGGATTTGGCAGAAAACAGTAAAAACCGCAGTGGCAGGTAATAAATATGGCAAAGATTAAGTAGACTTCAACATAAGATAGAGGTTAGAGTAGTTAAGGAACAGCTATTTAATCTTTTTTATATAAAAAGCTTATTTTTGAATTCATATGGCGAAAACGTGCAGTTTATTTCTATGTGGCAGAGCTGAACAATATTACTACCATTAAACGAAATTCAAGCTACTTTTAAAAGTGGTCACAGACTGTATTTAACCGTTAAATACAACCTAAGCTACTTTTAAAGGTGAGGAGATATGAACAGATGTACTGAGTCTGTCCACGAAATGCACTGCACAACACAACACACTACACAGCACAGCACACAACACAACACACTACACAGCACACAACACAACACACTACACAGCATACAACACAGCACACTACACAGCACACAACACAACACACTACACAGCATACAACACAGCACACAACACACTACACAGCACAGCACAGCACACAACACACTACACAGCACAGCACACAACACACTACACAGCACACAACACACTACACAGCACATAACACACTACACAGCACAGCACAGCACACAACACACTACACAGCACAGCACACAACACACTACACAGCACACAACACACTACACAGCACACAACATAACACACTACACAGCACACAACACAACACACTACACAGCACACAGCACAGAACACACTACACAGCACACAACACAGCACACAACACAACACACTACACAGCACACAACACAGCACACAACATAACACCCTACACAGCACAGCACACAGAACACTACACAGCACAGCACACAACACAACACACTACACAGCACAGCACACAACAGAAAATGCCACCCTTCCGGGGCACTAGCTTTACCGATCCTCTTTCCTCATGGTGAAAGAGAAGTCTTGGCTGGGCTGTGCCCTGAACCACAACTACAGTAACACAGAGACAAGCATCACGCTAAAAACACACCATCAACAGCAGGGGTACAAGGGACAGCTAAAGAGACCCTAATACTGGTGAAGAACCGGGAGCATGGAACCAAATATGAACAGACATCACACACACGTGTTTCAGGAAATCAGGTTTGTACAGACATTGATGACTTCCATAGTTCCAACATGTTTTAGACTCAACAGACACAGAAAATGCAGAGACCAATTCAATGCAGCTGTTGGGGGAGGGAGGACAGGTGGAACATGGATAGATGTAAATGATACATTCAAACAAAATGGCGTATGGCTTTGAGTCCAGGGGAACAGGACATTTCTGTCAGCCTGGCACTCACCCCCAAAGCCGCTCTAAACATTCATCAACCCATTTTTAAACTTTCAACCAGTGGCTACTTTGGTATGTTGTACCAATGTCTACTAATAAAAATAATGACACGCTATGCAGTCTATGCAAAACACTGCAAGAAAGGATGAAAAATACAGACATGCTACATAAAACAAAACTACCCATAAAATAATGAAGGGATAAGAAAACAGGACATTTTTCTGTTCACTTAATTTCTCCTCTGGTCTTGGTCTGAGGATGCTAGAAAGTAGGTAATTTAACCCACCAACCATTAAGCAATACAAGATATACAATGTGTTAATCACATTTTTGACAGCTAAATTGGCCCTCTTAAGTCAGAAAAAATAGCAGGGGCCATTACAACGCTCTTAATAGCTGTAGCGAGTATACAGAAGCACAGTGCATCAAGGCCTTGTCCATTTTCCCTTTTTTCTGCATTTATTCATTTTTTTTTCCTCATTTCCCACAGTGCTGGGAATGGCAGCAAACAGACTGAGCCTCTCAGTGTTAATGGCGAACAACGCGGCGAGCCTGACGCCGGGTGTGGGGTGGGTGTGACAACCGCCCTCAGGGCCCACACCCAGCCGGGATGAGCAGGAGCCGCCGTTCCAGAACAAATCGATGAATCCCCCCCCCCCCCAAGCACTTTCAAATTGTCAATTAGCAGCGGCAGACGCACGGGGCTTGATTATCGAGAGTGAACAAGAGCATCAGCTGAAGGCTAACCGGGGGCAAGGTGACAGGGGACCGCTGAGCCATGGCTACAAGCGGCAGGTTTAAGCTGGCTGCGTAGCGCAGAGCTCTGGATGTGGGATGAGGCTCTGCTGACGTCCAGGATGCACTGCTGAGCCTCAGAAACACAGATAACAGCCAACAGTAGCTTGGGGGCGGAAATGGAGCAGCACGATCCCTGCCTCGAACCCAAACGAGCAGGAGTAATTTAACCTTCTGTTGGTTCAAATGAGGACAAGCTGTGTGCACAACCTGATTTACAGTCATGTAAACGCCACATGTGTTGGCTGCTTCTAAGGAGATATGTTTTATAATGTTTAGAATATTGTGTCCCGACCCACAAATCTTGAATGCTCACCTAAAGGAAGGTTACTGTGCTGTCTTACACAATAGGGTGTCGTCACAGTACTAAACCACACCCTCAATAACTGCTCTGTGCCATTGTCAAGGACAGCAGAGATGAAGTAAGCTGCTATTTTAATGAAGCAAATTAAACAAGATAATTCATTTCTATCCAAATGTCCCCACTGAACAAGTGCGATGTTATTAATTGCTTGAAATATCTAGCTGCTCGCTTGTCTGGACAGACACCTGCTCTCCCTCTTTCTGACACACACACACAGGCAGATTCTATGAAATAATCGGGAGGGGGATACAACCTCCCACTGGCCTTTCTGGATGGGTTAAAGGAAAAGAACTCGGAATATGTAGCGAGGAAAAATAGAAATTAATCAAGTCAGACAGTCTTCAAAAGCAGACTATCTATTAAAGCAGATACTTTCAGATTGTTCTCTTATCTGAAAACAGCTTTTGTAAAGGTATGGGAATAAATACTATTTTCCCTGATCAAAGCAGGGAAAGAAAATATTGCAGTTGGGGGAATTAGACCTGCCTGGACTGCTGCCACAGAAAAGGTAATAAAATTTTACATTTCTGTACTAGATGGGACTGAGCATCAAGCAGTGAGTCAACAGCGATTCACTGCTCAGCACACAAAGTAAGGAGGCCAAAACGGTTTCAAACCCCACCATTTGAAACTAAGACTGTTTTATTCTTTGTTGACCTATAAAAGACTAGATACACTAGAAGACTAGACAGAGGAGAAGCAGGACAGCGATGGAAAAATACGAGGGGCACTTGCTTTCCACGAGGATCCTCCTTCCAGTCCAGTCGTCATTGATGGCCTGGATGTTCCCATAATGGACGTCGCTGAAGAAGATACGGTTGGTTCCGGCAGTGGCCTGCCGCTGGTCAACGGCCAGCGCGATGACATTCTTGAAGTAGGCCGGGTTCTCGTACGGCCTGACAGGCGAGTTGAGGTCGCTCTCATCCGACAGGTGGACGCTCTTCAGGATGGTGCGCTCCGAGTAGAGCAGGTAGCCGTCGTACCGCTGGCAGGACGTGCCGTCTTCAGAAAGGTATCCGTGGGCGCAGGAGCAGGTCCTCCGCCCGCCCCCCAGGTAGAAACACAGCTGCTGGCAGTCGCCGTTGTTGCGGGCACAGGGGTTAGTGCCTGCGGGACAGAAAAGCCTCACGTGTCTGTGGACATTGGTCACGCCCAGCTCTCATGGGCCTCTCATCCAGAGACTGCACATGAGACATACAGTTCTTCACTGATGCAAGTAATCCGTTACACAAAGCCTTACATAAGTTATATTTATGGATTTGCCTTCCCATACCATTCAAGACATCTTATAGCAAAAAATATTAGAAATACTCCATCCAGAACACATATGAAATAAATGAAAGGATAAAGTGAATTTACTTATGGCTAAATGTTGCCTTTTTTTTCCGTTAGCACTTCTGAAAACTCTATGCATTGTATAGATCTTTTGCTTAAGTCCGGATTTACTTAAGCCGATTTTATTGAAGTTGAAAGCAGCCTGTATTCACAAATAATCTCGATCACGCACAATCACTCACAGCCATTTCAGCTAAAAGTATGTACTGTATAGCAATGGACCATCCGCCATGTACTTGTCCATCTAGATTATCCAGCATGGTGTCAGGTTTATATATAGCGACATTTTTAGCAAGAACTTCTAAGCATATTTGGAAGTACCCCCAAAAAATTGCCTAATGTGACACAATCCTGGCGTGTGAAATTAATAAAATTTGACAGCCAGAATGCACGAGCCTAAATAAAGAGTGGGGGGGTGGGAACAACAAGAGGTGGCGCGAGGAGCGCACACGTGGTTTGATTCACTACGCCCGCTCGCACAGCCAGACATTACACGTGGTTTGATTCACTATGCTCGCTCGCACAGCCAGACATTACACGTGGTTTGATTCACTACGCCCGCTCGCACAGCCAGACATTACACGTGGTTTGATTCACTACGCCCGCTCGCACAGCCAGACATTACACGTGGTTTGATTCACT